AGTGATAAGAATCAAACCCAATGCCTCACACATGCAAGGCAAGTGCTCTACCACTGAGCCACAACCCCAACCCTAGCCTAAGTGCTTTTTAAATGATAGGTAAAAAGTATTTTAGGGATTATTGAATCAGAAACACAGTAAATTTTCTTTAAAATGCATCTGGAAAGGGCTAAATAAAATATATTTAGATTTGTCCTAATCGAATAGGTTTGGAAATTCAGAAAACCATATTTAAAATACAGATATGAGCAAGTTGTTTCAATTGTTTTTGCTGTTCCTTCTATTTTTATCTTAACTTTACCAATATTTTTTAGTTTTTAGGTCTGTTTTGATCTCACTGATATAATAAATAAATTTTCATATTTTGTTTTCCTCCAAAGACAAAGGAAAGGATAAATAATTCTCAACCATTAACCATAATTGCTTGCATTGAAATTATCAGTTCATAAATTTCTAACTATACTGTAGGCTTCTTTATTGTGGAGATTGGTTCTTCCTCTTCATATCTATGTGGACTAAAAATGAAGTTAACATGCAGCTAGTAGCCACCTGGTTGATGTGTTCAAATACAAACAAAGTATATTAAAATGTCACCTTGCTATATTAGAAACAATTGTGTTATTTTGAAAGCTACCTTTGGATCATATTGGTAAATTTAAATCACCAGAGATTCTTGTGTTCATTCATTAGGGACAGTGGTGACAAAATATATACTATTGTCACAATCTCTAAAGTAATAATAGTAACTGAACATCTCAAAAGGAATAGAATATTTTCTTTTACTTGAGCTATATCATAAGTTTTCTAAGTTACTGAATGGTTTCTTTATTAACAAGATTGTAAATTGGGACTTGTAGGACAAAGCCTTATTGTTCTCTGCCAATATATTTTTTTAAAATTGTGAGACTCCCATTCCTTTGATCCTAAATCTTTTAGTGTCCATGTTCAATTAAACTGTAACATATTTTCAAATACTAGATGTGATATTATTACCTTACTTTTGTATTTTAATTGCATTATCTATTTAAGAAAAAACTTCAAGATCAAGTTTTGACAGTATTAAAAAATGCAGCTTTAAAACAAGTAAACAAAGTTCCATAAATACTTGTTACTCCTTTTCTTATATAAAATAAGATAAATTTTTTATTTTATTTTTCTTATTTTCTGTTTTATTTATTTTTAAACATTTATTCATTTAGTTAGTTGATTGTAGGTGGACACAATATGTTCATTTTATTTTTATGTGGTGCTGAGGATCAAACCCAGTGCCTCATGCTAGGCAAACATTCTTCCTCTGAATCACAACCCCAGCCCCTTGTTTTTGTTTTTCTACTTACAGTACTGGTGATTGAACCCAGATGTACTCTACCAATGAGCTATATACCCAGCTCTTTTTATTTTAAGAAAAAGTTTCACTAAGTTTCCGAGGCGAGACTCAAAATTAAGGTCTGGGATTACAGGTATGCACCATCACACCCAACTTATATTTTAAAATAAAATTTAAAATTAAATCCTAAGGGTAACAAAAGGTAGAAAAACAAATTTATCTTATCTCTGATTTAAACTGATGAGTACTGAGTCCATTAACTGTAATTCACAAGTAGACTCATGTAATAGCTAAGAAAAGATATGCCATGAGCTTCAGCTTTTTTAATATATGAATTTAAAACATTTTTTGTATATATGTTCATAAGCTCATTTTAAACGTGATGGTGCTTTTTGACACACATGTTCTAATGTCTGTTTTACAATCAGTAAAAGCACAATATAGAAAATAGAATGCTCCATCTTCTTTATTCAGCAGTTTCAAAACTGGTTTAATGGGGGGGGAAAAAAGGTTTGATTTTAATTTTATGAGAAAGAGCTCTATTTTAAAGTAGTATGCAGCTGAGGACCTCTAGTGTCACAACTGAATATGTCATCAATTTTTAAGACTAAAGATAGATACAGAGAGAGAGAGTATGTGTGTGTGTGTGTGTGTGTGTGTGTGTGTGTTGTGAGAGGGACACACACATAGAGACAAGGTAAGAGGACTCAGACTTTGCAGAAAGTAAAGGCAATCAAGACTGTAGAGCCAGCACAAGGATCGACAAATGGATTAATGGAATATAATCAAGAGAGGTGAGAAATGAATTCATACATCTATGGTCAACTGATTTTTTACAGGATGCCAAGAACATTCAGTGGGGATCTTTCTCAAGTCTTCTCAACAAATAGTGCTGGACAACAGGAGAGCCAAGTGCAAAAGAATGGAATTGACCCATTTTTTTAATTGAGTTGTCTTTTAATTATTGAATATAAACGTTGCTTAAAAATTACAGATAGCAATCCCTGTGAGACATATGGTAAAGGTCTTCTCCCATTTGGTAACTATTTCATTTTCTTGATGGTATCCATTGAAACAAAAAAGTTTTTAATTAATGAAATTCAAATTATTTTTTCTTTTGTTACTTTTATCAAAGAATTCTTTGCCATATCTAAAGTCATCAAGATTTTCTCTGTTTTCTTCTGTAATTTTTATAGTTTTAGCTCTTACCTTTAGGTCTCTGACCCACTTTGATTTAGTTTTTTAATATGGAATCAGTTGGTTTATTTTTGAAGATGTTTGTGAAAACTCTGTTATCCCAAATTGTACTTGTTTTCACACATTTTCTCTTTGCCCAAACTGACTAATATCACCTTCACATGGAAGAAACCATTTGATAAAGAGAAATAGTTTATAAGTCAATATAAATAATAACATTTATCCTTTTTTTACATACACCATGGGAAATATGAAGTTTATTACTTATCTTCAAAATATGACTGACAATCAAGGATTGGATTATCAGACATTTAAGGAGAGAAAATGAGTTTGAGAGAAACAGCCTTAGGATGGGAGCAGGAAGAACTCATTGGAATTACCACATAGGAAATGAAGATAACACTCTATGTATCCACAACTAAAAGAATTCTAATTCTCCTTAGAGAGACTCAAAAGAATAATATATCCACAACCAAAGAACACTATCTACTGAAAAGAAACACCTGGAGAATAGTGAATTCGGTGGTGTGGGTGAGGTGGGCGCAAGAGGCAGAAAGAGATTTCTGTAGATATCTTTCTCTTTCTCTCATACCACATACACAAATAAATAAACCCTTTAATTAAATAATAGAGCTAAAGACCATCCTCCTTGATAGTAAAAGTCAGTTTAGAAAGTAGTTCAATTTTCATCTGTTAGTGGACAGAGCTTCAACTTAAAGAGAAAATAAATACAGCACATCAGGTTTTTTCTTGTTACTATTTCTGTATTAATGGAACATGTGAATCTTCAGATTAAAGGGTTGTACCTGATGTTGACCAGCACAAAGGTGTCTATACCCTAGAACATTGGGTTGAAGTTTTATAACTCTAAGGATAAAGTAAAAAAGTATCCTCAGCTTCCAGGGAGGAATCACAGGACATCTGTTATAAAATTGAAATCAGATTGATATTAGACTTCTTACTACTAATAAAGGATACCATAAGACAATGGAATAATTATTTTCAAGTTTAAGAAGAGAATGAGACATTTTCAGACATGCCATGCTCTAAAATGCCCTAATCATGCCCTTTTAAAATTTTTCTCAAAAATTAAGAATGATTGAAAAATTAGTGTTCAAGTTGCCTAAGTTTGTTTTTCTTAGCCTCTGCTTGGTTCTATAGTAAATATGTATTAATCATTGTATGGCAATGTGCCAGACACTTCCCATTCTCTCTGAGTAAAAGCCAAAGGTCTTATAATAGCCCAAAAGATCTTACACAGTTGTCTCCTTAAAACTTACCTTTTTTTGTCCAGTTAAGTGATAAACTATATCACATGACCATCATCAAAATTAAAAATAGAATAATTTCATCACTTTGCAAAATTTTCTCCTACTCCTATCTATTCCCCCACTTGAGCCCATGTGATCACTGATTACTTATTTCATTTTTGTCCTATAACAAATGTTTTTTCTTCAGTACAGATTTCTCACATACTGAGTATAGTCTTAATTCTTATATAACAGTCTTTTTCTTTTAATTGATGACTTTAGGTAACTTATACTTAATATAATTATTGATATATCTGGATTAAAATCTGTTCTGTTCTTTACTTTTCTTTTTATTGGGTTGTTTTTTATTCCATTGTATTTCTACTACTGCCTTATCATTTATAGCTCTTTTAAAAATTTTAATGGTTAACTGCAGATATTTAATTTATAAAAATACAAAAAAAAGTATAGAAAAGAAATCTCTACAAAATGTTAACATTAGTAGTTTGGGAGGTTGGATTTGAATGAGTCTTCCTTGCTTTTCTATATATTATTCCTAATTCCCTACATGAATGATTTAGCTCATTGGTAGAGCACTGGCCTAGTAAATGCAACTCCCTGGATCCAATCCCAAGTACTGCCACATACACATATACAAATACACCTTCAGAGAGGGACAATGTGAGAGAGACAAAACATATAAAGAAAGTGGACATCTATGCACAGATGGCTTAAGGAGGATAAGATAAGAATTAAAAGAGACATTTTGCCTTATTAACCAGTGTGGAAAATATGCTAATGTCTGTATACCATAAAATATATTGTACCTAAATTTTAGAGGCTACAGCATTTTGTTTTGAGCAGAAGACATGGTTATCCTTGACTCTGATCTGCCACACATCTAAAGCTTTCTTGATAATTTGATAAAGCCAAACTTGTCAATGATCATTCTACCCTACTACAAATAATATACACCATCCAAATTAAGGTCCTTTCCTGCTATTAGAGTAGCCAATAGGAAAGTGTTGTCAGATCACTTTGTTATAATCAGAGTTTATTATAATCAATTGTGTTCAAGTGGTTATTTTAGTAAATATGTAAATTCTGTTTGAATGGGCAAGATGCAAAAAAATTTTATGTTTTAAATGTTTTCAATGTGTCTTATTCTTTAAACAGATTGTAGATATGCTTTATAATTGATCTTTGAATTTTTGTTTTCTTTTTAGCCATTCAAAGGTTTTGTGCATAGCATTTGAAGTACTTCAGGGCTTGCAGTATATGAACAAACATGGCATAGTACACCGGGCACTGTCTCCTCATAATATCCTCTTGGATCGAAAGGTGATTCTCAAATACTATAATAGATATTTGTATGTTGCTTGGAATTGAAAGCTTTTGAAATCAGGCCCTTAAAATTAATCAGAATGATGTTAGAATATGTTTTAAGAATAAATAATGAAAAGACTATGAAAATGATATATTTATGATTGTGAAAAAGCTCTTTAAATTATTTAAATGTTTAAATTATTTAACAAATGTTTTTTTCTTCAGTATCTATGTGTCTTTCATGCAGGATATTCCTTTTTTTTCCCACAAACTAATGTTCTGACTTCATGTGTTATTTTTTCTTTCATTCTTTTTGCTAAAGGATTTGTTTTATGGCTTCTCAACATTCCTCTCCTCAGAATTTGCATTTGCTTTTGTTTTAAGAAAACTTTTCTGACCAGTTACTTAGAATATCATTCTCATAAGTAGAACTGCATTGAATTTCCCCTTCTTTACTTTTTTTTTTTTTTTTTACCAAATATTCATTACCTAGCTCACTTTTCTGTTGGATTGCTTGCTTCTCAACTTGGAAATCTTATAGGGAATTGATAAGATAGTAACCCCTCCTAAGAGAATTATTGATAATAAAGTGATATATTTTCAGGAATAATCATAATTTTATTTCTCATTACATATAAACAGCTTTGGGGAAATTTTGGTTGAATTATTTTGTATATAATTGTTCTTTGAGTGTTTTCTCAAATTTGATATAGTCTTAAAAATCACAAAATAGAAATGATATTTATTAATTTCAGACTTATGGCAGAAAGATAACATTGCTACAACCAATCTAACTTGTTTTAAAATATAAAGTAATGTCTGTATACCATAAAATATATTGTACCTATTTTTAGAGGTCACAGCGTTTTTTAGCCTCTAAATCTTAAAAAGAAGATAAATGAATTGAAAGTTGACTTATTTTTTTTAAAGTATAAACATTTAAAATGAAAAAAAAGGAACTCACATTTGTGATAATTGTTAGTCTCAAAAAATATATGAATTATTGGAACCTAACAGACTTACTGAACTCTCGTGATTTTTGAACTGAACTTTCCAAGCTAAATCCCTTATCACAGTTAAATTTTAACATTATGACTGTATTTGTATTTCCCCGAAAATAGAACTCTTCTGAAAAATTACTACAAAACATTCTAACCAAGTATTCAAAACAAATGAAAACATTTTTGCCTGTTATCCTTTGTTAAAAAAAACCTAGATTAGCACAAATAAACACAAAAATGTTAAACTAATTTGACATTGTGAAATATATGTATTCCTTATACAGTTATATAGTATATGTATCTGTATATATATACACTTACATGTCTACAGATATGTGTACATACAAATATAATAAGTGTAAAGCAAACTAAATTTTGACAGTCTTGGATAAAATTTTGGTATCTTATAAAATCTTATATGGTAATATTTTGATAAAATAGCAGTCTGATTATATAATGATTGTAGTAGTCATAAGGCACATAGTTTTCCTTTCCAGTTATATTAAAATATTTCAGTGTCTTTCTCCTTTATTATTGTAGGGACATATTAAATTGGCTAAATTTGGACTTTATCACATGACAGCTCATGGTGATGATGTTGATTTCCCAATAGGGTAAGGATATTTTACCTCTGAGTTCTGTCTTGGGCATGATAATCTTTGGTAACATGCACGTTTTGTTAGTTATTTTTGATAATTGGTTTTTAACATAAAAGTAATTTTTCTTTATTAATTCATATTAATTTCCCAGGTACTTTGTTAAAAAAATAGACAATTTCCCAGTGTTTCAAAAATCCCTGATATTGATCTTTCATTGAATTGGAAGAAAGAATGACAGATTATTATTTACCTTATAATGCTTTCTAGTTAGTTATATTTCATTAAGAAGTAAGTTTAAGACAAGAAGACTGATCACATTCTAAGATAGTGTGTGTTCATAAGAGTCTGAAAGTCATCACTCTTGCACTGATTTCAATTTCATGATTTACATTTAATTCCCTGCTTTCTAAAATCTAATTGTATATTAAGATTCAAATTGAATTATTGTGGATATCAAAATTGGGAATGGAACTACAATTTGACCCAGCTATCCGTCTCCTGGGTCAATACCCAAAGGACTTATAAACAGCATATTACAGGGACACAGCCACATCAATGTTTATAGCAACACAATTCACAATAGCTAAACTGTGGAACCAACCTAGATGCCCTTCAATAGATGAATGGATAAAAAAAAAAATGTGGCATCTATACACAATGGAATAATAAATAAAATAAAATAAAAAATAAGTAAAAGAGAATGAAATCATGGCATTTGCAGGTAAATGGATGGAGTTAGAGAAGATAATGCTAAATGAAGTTTGCCAATCCCCAAAAAACCAAATGCCGAATGTTTTCTCTCATATAAGGAGGCTGATTCATAGTCGGGTAGGGAGGGGGAATATGAGAGGAATAGACAAACTCTAGATAGGGCAAAGGGGTGGGAAAGGAAGGGAGGGGCATGGGGTTAGAAATGATGGTGGAATGTAATGGACATTATTATCCAAAGTACATGTATGAAGACGCGAATTGGTGTGAATATACTTTGTATACAACCTGGGATATGAAAAACTGTGCTCTATATATGTAATAAAAATTATAATGCATTTCGATGTCATATATAAGCAAATAAACAAAAAAGAATTATTGTGGATATCAGAAGTAATGGGATAAATTCTATATCTGGAAGTCTACGTTTAAGAGGTTTATTTTATCACTTCTGATATGGAATTTTAGATGTACATTGCCCTCAAAGAAAGAAAGTAACAGAAGTTTATTTCATTCCATACTAAAATAGATACTTTTGATTGACTAGCACGTACAGTGGCTTTTTATTTGTAAATACTTTAGTTTGTATTTCCTAAAATAAGGAGTTTTCATATTCAACCTCAGAATTATGATCAAAATGATAAAACTAAAATTGATATATTTTTATCTAAACTAGATTCTGAAATCATATTTTTTCAATTGTACTATAGTTGTTTTTAATAGTATTCATTTGTGTCTTGCTCTTTGAGTTTCCTAAAGTCAGTTCTGTTACATTAATATTGAGAATTCTGATATGCATTTATGGAGTATAATTCTGAAGCAAAACGTTTTTTGAAAATATAATGTGATGTTTAACAAAATCTTCATTTATAAATGGCACTTTTATCCTTATATATTTCTTTCTTACCTAAAATTTTCATTAGTTAAGGCACAGATAATAAATAACCTTAGACATTATTGAGTGAGGAAACATTTCTCGAGCACTTTGTCTCTTGCCTTGGTATATACAAGAAGGTTAAAATAGGTTCTTTCCTTAAGAAGCTCATCGTTCAGTAGGCAGATTTTCCATTTTGATGACTTACTTATTAAGGTACATAGATACACAATCTTATAGTTTCAAAAGTCAAAATCTTATGGCCAACAAACAATTATTTGCATAAGTATAAATATTATAATTTGTAAAGTAGTCAAGAATTTCTACTTTTTAAAAAAACCCTTTAAATAGGATAAGTTCTTGATCCAGTTCTAGCTTCTTTGTCATATGGTATAATTGTCTTGACATGAATTTCAAAGAGCTATGTAGTAAATGTGATTTCCACTGCTTTTACTTATTGTCACAATTTGTATAAAATAAAACTCCAAAAACATACAAAAATTAAGATTTTTAAACCTTTATTTATTGGTGCTTTAGGTTTTAGTGATGAATAGAAGAAAGGAGATGATTTTTCTAAAAGCATACCAAGCATTTTGAAGAACTACATTTGAATTTAAAAGGCTTAGATAGAATTGGTCTTGTATTAACATTTATCCTAGCTTGCTTTGAAGTGTTGCACCCAAAGGGTCTTACCAGAAAGTATCCAAGAGCAAAATGTGCAACATTAGCCAAGAAAAATAAAGTGATCAAACAGCGAAGGCAGGAAAGAAAATATTTACACCAGAAGAAGCTTGCAATTAATTCAAAAGACAAATATTAAGGAACAATAAAGTAAAATGTTACCATCTGTTTCAAAATATTGTAAAGAGTTAAAACTTGGGCATTCATTTCAGTTGGCAGTAGCTTAATACCTTGTTAAAACAACAAACATGATGAAAACCACATGTATTTACCCCACCATTCATATACACAGCAAAGTTCTGTGAATTGTCTTCAATATCCACCTCTTCTTAAAATGCTTTAAGAAGAGGTGTGTATTGAAGGAAGATTATCTATATTTAAGAGCAATCCTAGGGCTTAATTGTTTTCATTAATTCCGTCTTTGATTAAAAGGGAAACTAGAATTTTTGGAGCAAGGGTTATCTCTGTGCTTCTATTAGAAGTTTTTGATACAGCAACTTATCTATAGTTTTGCTTGATTTTTCATTACCTGTCCTGTCATTTTTGTTGTTGTTGTTATTTAGATGTACTGGAAACAGGGATGAAAGTGAATAGTTTGCCTGTTAGATATGGTAAAAATCATCATAAAAAGTATAACATTATATTTGTGTCACTAATATTTTCAACAGTTTATGTGATAGATATTATGTCTATTTTACAGATGAAGAAACCCAAATTGCATATTACTGAAATTGGAACATAGATATTATAACAACATATCCAGTGCGTTTCTACAAGGTTTCACCTGGTTCTAGGGATTTCATACATTCATAGGAAGATTGGTGTGGCCCTGGTGCACACCTGAAATCCCAGTAACTCGGGAGGCTGAGGCATTAGGATCACACATTCAAAGCTAGCCTTAGCAACTTGACCAGGCCATTAAGCAAGTCAGTGAGACCCTTTCTCAATATACAAAATGTAAAAGGGATGGGGATGTGGCTTGGTGGTTAAACATCCCTGGGTTCAATTCATGATAACAAAACAACCCCCCGCCCAAAATATGATCATTTTAGGGTATAAAACCATTGTGAAAATTTGCATATAGAAGAATATTTGAGAAAATTAAAAGATATTGATACCATCAATTGTATTAAAATGAAGAGGAATTTAAAAACTTATACCCATTGACTTTAAGTTATATTCTCTTTCTTAAATGATTTAAATAAGTAGTACTGGTAGTGAGTGTGAGGAGGTGGCTATAGAAAAGAGAGATATGGATGTAATATTTGAGTGCCTACTGTAAATATGTAGGTTAAATATACTTAAATACATTTTGATTACAGTTGGCAGTATTGCATAATCTAATCTAATTGAATTGAAAAATCCATATTATGTTGTGTGCATGTGACTAAATCTGAATAAATGAAGGGCATACACATACTTAATTAGAGCAGAATTCTATTCATTTTTAAAATTTCTTTTCTGAAGCTATTAAAATTTTTAGGCAGTGGTTTACAAATTTAGCACTTGCCAATTGTCTAATTCTTATTGTCTGCTTTTTAAATCATTTTTTCTAAGGCAGTCCTAACTGGCATTGTGATTTTTTGTTTTAAAATTAATGTGCTCACGCAAACACAAACAAATGGTTTATAAAAATGAATAAGACATACTAGTATCTTCAAGGAATTTTGTTTTGTTTTAATTTAGATAGGAGGTTAAATATTTATAGAATATTACATAGTGTATAAAACAAAAATATTTAACACGTTTATCATCTATAGCTTATTACATGAGATTCAGAATATGCACACAAGGACCTTATAGAATTTAATCAAGTTCCTTTGTGCAAAAAAAGAGAAAGCTTTTTTTTTTTTTTTTTTTCGTATTAAGGATTGAACTCAGGGGCACTCAACCACTGAGCCACATCCCCAGTCCTATTTTGTATTATATTTAGAGGCAGGGTCTCACCGAGTTGTTTAGCATCTTGCTTTTGCTGAGACTGGCTTTGAACCCTCGATCCTCCTGTCTCAGCCTCTCGAGCTGCTGGGATTTTAGGCATGCACCACCATGCCTGGCAGAAATCTTTTTTCAAAGACATTATAGAAGACCTAAATAAATATGAACATATCATGGTTTTAGATTGTTAGGGACACTACTGAAAAGATGCTAGTTCTTCCCAACCTGTTTCCATATGTGATCTCTTCAGTAAAAACTGCAACTATGTGTAAAAGAAAACATGGAAAAGAAAGATAATTCTAAAATGTATATAGTAGAAACACCTAAAGAGAAATTGAAAGTTGTGTGTGTTTGTGTATTTTGAGAGGGCTTACCTTAGTAGTTGCCAGTAATTATATACATAAGGTTATAGATTTAAAACAGATCAAATAGCGTTAGGCACAATGATCAGTGGAACAGAATAGAAAGCCAAGAATCAAACCTACCATATGTGGCAGTTTTATTAATAGTAGACCTGTCACTGCAGAGCAGTTGAGGAAAAAAGAGACATTTCAATAAATAGTATAGAAGTCAATTGATTCTCCATTTAGGAAAGATGGAAGTTGTACCTTTATCTTACCTCATATAAAAAATTTATTCTAGGTAGAAAAAAACTTAAGTATGAAATTAACTTTCAAACTTTTAAAAATAACACAAGACCATTTTGACAAAATCACTATGTATAAGAAAAAAATGATAAATTTGATTGAATGATTAGTAATTTATCACTCATAAATAGATACCATAAAGAAAATTTAAAAGAAAAGCTGTTTAGTGATAGGAAGTGTTTCAAGTCATAATTACTAAAAAACAAATTAGTACTGAGAGGCTTTTGGGGATATCAGGGGTTGAACTCAGGGACGCTCTACCACTGAGCCACATCCCCAGCCCTATTTTGTATTTTATTTAGAGACAGGGTCTCACTGAGTTGCTTAGCACCTTGCTTTTGCTGAGGTTTGCTTTAAACTCATCATCCTCCTGCCTCAGCCTCCAGTGGTGCTGGGATTACAGGCATGCACCACCATGCCCAGCTAGTACCTAGAATTTTAAAGAACCATTTAAAAACAATAAGAAAAAAATCAGCTATGTAGAAAAAGGTTATCCCAGAAGACTTTATCTGTAGAAACTATGTCCTGCTTATAAGGTTTGTCCTTACCTGGGAACTTGGACTTCAGAAGCATTCCCATGGTTCTCTAATTGTAAGCATCGTTTTCTGTACCTGTTTGCATAATGAAGTTTATGTTGAATAGTTGCTTTCCTTCTAGGAGTCCTATATTTTTGTACATGACAACCAGTAAGTGCCTGTGTGACCAGTCCCCAGTAAATACCTCAGGCCGTAAGTTTTTGATGAACTTCCCTGGCCATTGTTAGCACATTTTTGTTGTTGTTGCCAGGAAGAGTGTACTCTGCTTAATACCTGATAGGAAGTAGAAAGCAGAAGAAAACCTGTACATAGATTCCCCAAGAATCTCTTCTATTTCTCTTGTGATCCAGCTTTATACCCTTACTATGTCATGTAATAAATCTTAGCTCTGAGTATACCTACATACTGAGTTCCATGAGTCCTTCTAGTAAATCTGTAAACATAAGAGATATGAGGGTTTTCTTGAGTACTCTAGTACAACAATCTACTAGGGAAATGAGTAGAAAACTTGGACAGGCACCTCACAATAATAAATTCAAGTGGCTAATAAACATATGAACATATGATGCCTCAATTTTACTAATTTTCAAGGATTTAAAAGTTGAATGTGCATTGACATATAGATCTCACCTAGCAGACTGTCAAACATTAAAATGCCTGTCAAATAAATATTAAGTGTTGATGAAGAAGTAACCAACAGGGACCATCATATCTGTTGGTGGTATATAGATTGGTATAACTTTTTGCAAAAAATATTTGACATAATTTTAAAAAGTTGAAAAAACATGTATTCTATGGCCTAGAAATTCAATTCTAGTTTCTTAGCTTTGGGAAAATTTCAGGTACATGCTATACACAGTTTTAAGTGAAGCATTGTTCATAATGCAAAATGCAGGAAATATCTTAAATGTCATTGATGTTTAAATGGACAAATAATGATTTATTAATAAAATAGAAGTAAAAATTAATGGTGTATGACTACATGTAGCAATACAGATTACTCTTTCAAATAAATAATGGTGACTGACAAAGCAATAGAATATCCTCAATCTAATTCCAGTACTATAACATTCAGAAATGTGCTCAACTGAACAATATATTTTAAGGATATAATCATGTGATAAAGCTATAAAGAAATTCCAGATATCTCTTTCTTTTCAGGGATAAGGATGGAAATATAATCCAGGAGAACCAGAACGTGAATTTAGTGATAATTTGTTCTTCACTTAAATTGCTCCTTGGTACTTGGTTGTTTATTATAGCTTTATTCTTTATACCTTATTCATATTTAATAGTCTTTTGTATTTGCTCAATATTTGCTAAAATACTTAAAAAAAATTTATCATGAAGGTAGTGTGAAGGAATGAACCCTATATATTGTTTGTGAGAACATAAATTGATTAAACCTCCCCAAAAGGCAATATGATGTGGTATAAGTTATGAATTTGTAGTGATACTTCTAGGAATTTAACTGCCATCTATACATATATCTGATAAGTAGAGTATTTATATTTATAATGTATTCATTTGAAAATTGTTGTAGCAAAAGAAATTTATTAGTCAAACAAGTTGTTTATCAATACAATGACATTATCAGCAATTTTCAAAAAGAATGAAGGAACTCAATAGTTATTTTTTCAATTTTCTTTATTTGCTTTGTTTTTTTATTTTTAATTTTTAAAATTTGTTATATGTGACAACAGAATGCATTACAATTCATATTACACATATAGAGCACAATTTTTCATATCTGGTTGTACACAAAGTAGAGAATGATCTCAAATATATTTTAAGTGAAAAAAAGTAGTATGGTGTTCTGCCATATGGGGGGAAAGGTACAGAGAAAGTCTTTCTTTTCAATTTACATTCCTTTTCAATTTATATATTTTTATAGCTTTGACATTCCTACTACTCAAAATAATATATACTGACTTCAAAGTTAAAATGATAAAATAATAATTCACTATTAAGAGAAGAAACCTAGAGGACTGCAAGAAAGGCAGTATGTTAAAAACAGGAAAGCTACCAATGCTGGAGAGAGATATGGTGGTTTAAAACCACTAGAAATTCATATAGGTACAATTGATTCTTAGACATTGTATATTGAATTTAGAATTCTTCTTAGCTAATTCTTCTTGTTAATTTTAATGCATGGGGCTTTTATCTAGTTCTTGTGACACTGATAGAAAAATGTACTCCTGCTTTTTTCTTCATTATAGTTCATAGTAATTATTCATGATTTTAATATGTCATTATAGGTATCCATCATACTTGGCACCTGAAGTAATTGCACAAGGAATTTTCAAAACCACTGATCATGTGCCGAGTGAAAAACCATTGCCTTCTGGCCCCAAATCAGATGTATGGTCTCTTGGAATCATTTTATTTGAGCTTTGTGTGGTATGTATATACAAATGTTGAAACTAAATCATGTATTTATTATTGTTTTGCTGTAGAAATGGATTAAATTTAGAGAAAAGTGTAAAATAATTACACCTTTACCAAGTGTAAACAGCTTCAGAAATATTGCACTAAAATTAATTATGCTTTTTATGTGTTCATGGTTTCTCTGCGCTCTGGTGTTTTTTCCTCCTGTTCTCTTTTATTTCCTATAAATTCAATTTGTTTGTTGGATTTTTAGGAAGCCTTCCCCAGACACCTTCTGTATTTATTAAAGGCTTAAGCTGTTATTATAAACAAAAGAACTAAAAATATAATAACTTAAAGAATGTAGATGTTTTTCTTATGTTCAGAGCAGATAGGCTCTGTTCCACCATATCATGTAGAAGCCTGGGCAGGCAAGAATGATGGTTTCATCACCATTTTCAATATCTGGTTTTCAGAGTTGCTTTTTTTCCCCCTTAATCATTTTTTTCTAGCTAAAAGGGATAAGGAAGAGTGAGTGAGTTTAGTATTACTGCCTTTAAGAATATGATGTAATAGTTTTAAATAAAAATCCTGTTTACTTTTCACTAGTGGCTACATGTAGGTAGAAGAGAGGTTAGGAAATGTCATCTTCAGCAGAATATCTAAATTTAAAAAATATATATGAGAATGAATTTTGAGGAACAACTAATAATGTGGTAATCTGTCCTCAAATTATCTGCCAGTGTTAGATACTCTGCCTTCTCTCCTCTCCTTCTTCTACCTGGGGGCAGAAATCTGGATTGTTCATTTGTTTCTACCAAAGGATTTTCCAAATATTTTGAAAAGAAAATAACTCATTGAACAATTTCCATTTCTAAGAATTTGGTTGATATTATTATTTCATTTTGTGTGTTTAAGAAAAAAAATTTCTTTAAAAATTCTTTGTAACATACCTGTAATCCCAGTGACTTGGGAAGCAGACGGGGTGGGAGGGGGTATCATAAGTTCAAGGCTTGCCTTAACTACTTAGTGATACCCTCTCTCAAATTAAAAAATTATAAAAAGGACTGGGATGCAGCTCAATGGTAAAGCTTCTGAGCTTAATCAGCAGTACAAAAACAAAAACAGCAAAACAAAACATTCAAAATAATTCAATAGCACATGTATTATATAAAAGTTAAGAGATAAATTTTTGGAGTTCAAACTGTATTTGTAGTCTGATGTTGCAAAGTAGAACTGTGTGACTTTGGGTAATATGTTAGTCAACTGTTACTGTAACAAATACCTGAGATAAACAGTTTGCAACGAGAAAAGAGTTATTTTGGCTCATATTTTGAGTCACAATTGAATGGCCCTGTTGCTGGGCCTGTGGCAAGACAGCATGTCATTGTGAAAATGCGTGGTGAAGCAAATCTCCCCTCATGACCAGGAAGCAAAAATGAGAGGAAAAGAAAGAGCAGGGACTGAGGTGTCACTATCCCCTTCAAGGTTATGCCTCCAACAACCTGAGAACTTCCAGTACGCTTCACCTTTTATTAAAGTTTCTGTCACCACCTAAAAGTGCCAAACCTTTAACCTATGGGCCTTTGAGGTCATTGAAGATCCAAAGTATATCAGGTCATCACCTCACTTCTCAAGGCTTGAATTCCACTTTCATAAATAATATTAGCATCTGTTAGTATGGCATAGCAGACCATTCATTAGTGTTTTATTTTTAAAGTAATGATGTTAATATATTCATAACATGATGGCTTACATGTTAGCATTGCATTTTCTAAAGGAATATGCCAGATTTTATGTTTTTGTCTAACCATCCAACTTTTCATTGGTATGCAGATGATAGTAAATATTATTTTTGTTTAAAATCACAGCTGAAATGAAAACTCTTTGGAATGTGGATGTGAAGTGCACATAATAAGTATAAATATAAAGTATACAGCTTTTCCTTTTTGCTAGCATCCCAGATATATAAAGTCTTCACTAGTGATCTGGGTACATTTTCTATGAGTTATTCAATTCAACAAATATCAATGAGTGTTTACTGTGCGTTTGACACTTATGACAACAGTAACAAGGGATAAATAAGACACATCATTTGAGAGCTCATAATTAGATTAAAACCTATAAACTTTGAAGGTAAATACTGAGAGCTGTGTGATTTAAAATTAAGTTTAATTCTACTGCAGGCCTTTATGGAACTTTAAGTGGTACTCAAGGTTTAGGTATTCAGCTTAAGGATGGCAGACTAAATATATGCTTAAATCTTCTGCTTCATCAAACTCTTTCATTCGGTGTTTTTTTTGTTTTTTTTTTTTAACTGGGGATTGAATCAAGGGGTGCTTAACTACTGAGCCACATCCCCAGCTCTTTTTTAAAATATATTTTATTTAGAGACGGGGTTTTACTGAGTTGCTAAATGCCTCAATATGTTGCCTTAGCTGGCTTTGAACTCACGCTCCTCCTGTTTCAGCCTCCCTAGCCTCTGGGATTACAGGCATGTGCCACTGTGCCCGGCTTCTTTCATTTCGTTTTTAAAGGCTCTCTTTATCTATAGTTCTGATCTCAAGTGTTCAAGAACATTTTTTTCTCTTTATTAAAAAAGCAGACTCTACAGAAAGACTGTTATCTTCTTGTCTTCTACTTGTGAATCTATTTAAAAGATAATACAAGTTTAATTTCTAATGAAAGTGAAATATAATAACTAACATTAATGAAATATTTTATACTTTATATAACCCTCATCACTACCTATAGGGTATGTACAATTAATATTCCAATTTTACCAATGTAAAAAGACAAGCTTAATGTGGTGAAATAATGTACTCAAGTTTTGTAGCCATTTGGTAATGGAAGACTCGATTGTTATTCAACACATAATTTTTTGGAGGTATATTAGTCAAGATGCCATTCCCAGAAAAATCCAGAGGCAAACTAATAAGGAAACAATTAAAATATAATATGTGTATCTTTTAAAAATGTGCCATGTACTATGGGAACATCAAGGTGGCTGTCTGAAGTTACTATGGAAGGAAGGATTGTTAGGGGATGTTTCTCAGTAGAGACAATAAACTAGCTGAATCATGATACATACGTAAGAATTATATAGGTAGGTGAAAGGCTAATGCAGATCTTTCCCCAGGGGTATCTTGATCTCTTAATAAAATAATACTTCTTGTCATGGAATACCTCTAGATAGCCAAGTACATAAGGGACTCAAATGGAACAATGCTTAAGATCATACTAGAATGTACTGATCCCTAGACACATGAAATGTTTATTAAATATTAAGCAACACTTTTTAAAATGTCATTTTGCCAGTAATTGTCCTTTAGTGGAGATAACTACAAATCCATAAAACCTCTGGAGATAAATGGCAGTACCTGATAAAATCAGTTTCAGATGTGGAAATTACCTCCCTGGAAGAAAAGATAAAAATAACAAGAATTTCTTTGCTCATTTTATTTAGGGAAGAAAATTATTTCAAAGCTTGGATATTTCTGAAAGACTAAAATTTTTGCTTACTTTGGGTAAGTGTCATGCAATTGATTACCTTTCCACTATACATATAATCTTTAGTAACTTATGCATCATGAACAAAGTGCAAATCATGCACATTGAAGATGTGTTCTTTTGAAATAGTGAAATGTCTCACTTCTCCAAGTTTTTAATGATCAGAGCTAAGCATTAACAGGAGAGCTTAAGAAATGCCTTATGAAATGTTATAACAGAGCTCATTAAGGAATTTCATGATATAGCCAAATAAGCTAACTTACAAAAGCAAACTATGTGAATATAAAATTATACCTCTCTGTAGCAATTTAACTTCAGACAATGTTTTTTAACTTTTGGATTGTCTTTTGGTTTGACTGATGTATCAATAACAATTCAGGAAGAAAGTTTAGTTTTCCTTATAACATGCTCATATTTTTTATGTATTAGAGATTACTAAATGTGGTTTACAGACTAAGCTTATACTTTAAATCCCCAGAGAAATGTGTATATATTCTCTAAATTATATATAATAAAAAAGAAATTAGTCTAAAATCATGAAAAACAGTCTTATTAAAAGACTGTTATTAAATAACAGTCTTATTTTTACCTTTCTTAAATAACAGCTTTATCTCTACTTAATTGCTATCTTTCTGTACCTATGATTAATTAATATTTAGTATTTGAGGTATTTTTTATCAAAACATATAAGGAAAATTAACAAAGTCATATTTTTTTTAGGATTCCCAAGTGCCAAAACTGTTACTATGTGACTTAAAATATTTGTTGTCTGATTAGTCTTATTTATTTAAGTACTGGGGATTGAACCCAGAAGCAGTGAACTACATCCCCAGTCCTTTTTTTTTTTTTTTTTTTGAGACAGGCAGGCCTTGAACTTTTGATCTTGCTGCAGCCGCCTCAGTTTCTGGATTACAGTCATGTGCCACCATGCCTGGCTAGTCTGATAGATTTTTAAAAGCAGAATTTCTTCATATAGTGTTTTCTGTTTTATAGACTGTGTAGATGACACTGTAATAGTTCTGGCTGAAGAGCATGGTTGTCTGGACATCATAAAGGTTTGTCATTAATCAGTGTTTTATTCTGTTTGTACTTATTTAGCAGAGTATGAGAGATTGGATAATTTATAAAGAACAAAAATTTATTTTATCACTATTTTGGAGGCTAGAAAGCACAAGATCAGGTTGCTATCAGACTTAGTTCTCTAGTGAGGTCTGCATCTATAGAAGGGAAGAGTGGTGGATCCTCACAAAGTACAACGGCAAGCTAGGCGAATGCTAGGTGAAGCCTCTTATATAAAGACCTTTATCCCAACCCCAAGAAGAGGAGCCCTTGTGACTTAATTATCTCTTAAAGGTCCAACCCTCTTAATGCCATTAACTTTTCCATTAAGGTTCAATACCTGAATTTTGGAGGGAATACAGTTAAATCATAGCAATCTATTAATGAAAAGTTGTTTTGCATAGTTGAGATCCAGTAGCAAATTATTCTGAAACTGTTATTTCTCTTTATTTCAGAGAGTGATATATTAAAATAAATTTATATAAAGTACAGATAAAGACTTAATTAAGACCTTCTGGAGAAGCTAACATTTGAGTAAAATATATTTCTGAAATGGATCATTACAAATTGTTGTTTTCTGTCTTTCTTTACCAGGAACTTCCTGAAAATGTGACAAATCTTTTAAAGAAGTGCCTCACTTTCCATCCTTCTACGAGGTTGATATTGTTAAGACTTTGAAAATATACTCATCCTAAACATATAAGCATCTGATTTTTTCTCTTATTATAATACTAATAAATTACATATAGATATTTAAATATATAGGGCATGTACATGATTAATATTAGTATCATGAATGCAAGTGATATAAGGCTTTAATTTTTTATTAATAAAAGAAAAAATTATTAAAGTTAAATCATGACATATACCAAAAGAAGTTACGAGTTCATTTCATAGCCTTCAAGTAAAAAATCTCTTTGAATTATTGATATTGCTAGACCCAATCATAATATGAGGGAAATGAGAACATACTTTATTGGTAGTATGTATTATATTAATGAGCTTGGATAAGTGTTGAGGTAAGCTAATAATTGCTAATATAAAATGATTTCTTGGAAATTTGGTTAATTCATTTTCATTTGAAGATGTCAAAGACTTACAGCTTTTCCTAAACTCGTCCTACAATATTTCAAAATAATGTGTATAATTTATTTTTAAAAAACAATCTTATCAAGACAGAAATGGTGTTAAAAGCATAGTTTGGGGATAAAATGCTACATGAACCTAAAAAGGTAGAAAGCAAATTTAAAAGATATTATTTTACATATTTATTTAATTAAGATATTCAGTAAAGCAGGTTCATGCTAGTCAGGCTAAAAGTTTAAAAATTAGATCATGAGGTATAGAAAGTACATCAAAACCTTAAAAATGAAGGATTTATGGTTATTTGATTGTTATTTAAAAATATACATCTAGATTCTGCAGAGACCTCTGTTATTTTCTGTGCTAATGAGACATTTAAGACTTGAGTATCCCCTTGAATGTGTGCCATATTCCTAGGAAGTTTTTTATGACTTTCACTCATGCTCTGTATTTTAAATTGTGTTTCTCAAGGCCAACCCCAGATGAATTAATGAAGGATAAAGTGTTCAATGAAGTGTCACTGTTGTACACCCCGTTTATCAAACCTGCCAGTCTGTTTTCATCTTCTCTGAGATGTGCTGATTTAACTCTGCCTGAGGATATCAGTCAGTTGTGTAAAGGTAATAATAAATAAAATATAGACAGTCATATAAGGCTTATTTCTAAAGGAAGTCCCCTTATTCTCCTTTCAGATTTCATTTTATCAGCAATATATTTTTACATTAGTAGGATTTTCATGGATAATTATTTGGGAATTAAGTAATGGTTCTAAATGTGTTAAAAATACAACTGACCCCAAATTTTAATCCTTTAAATTATGTATGTTCCATGTAACTTATTATAAATTATGTCTAAAAATCATGTTATTGATAGGAAGTTGTTCATACCATTATATTTTGCATTTGAAGAGAATATCAGCTTGTAGGTTTTCATTCTTTTAATCCTTTTATCATTGATCAATTGAATGATTAAGTGATTTAATAGCACTGAGAGACTGAAACCCTGAGGTACTCTACCTCTGAGCTATATCCTTAGTCCTTTTTATCTATTTTTATTTTGAGACAGGGTTTAGATAAGTTACCCAAGCTTGTCAGGTACTTGAAATCCTCCTGCCTCACCCTCTTGAATAGCTAGGATTATAGGTTTTCATTCTTGTGTGATGACTACAACTCACAGAATATGTGTTTTAGTGACAACAGTAAATTACTTTAATACTGAGAAGTTATCATGACACAAGTCATGGCAGAATATATTTATTAAACATTCATTCAATATTTATTGAGTTCCTACTATTTACCACACACTTTACATGTCAAATGTGAAGGCAGGCAGGCATAAACAAAGGTCAATATGAACATAGAACAACAGAAATAGTAGAAGGAGAAACTAATTCTGTCTGGGACATCAAGAAAGACTCCTTAGAAACATCTAGTGCCTTGAAACATGAGATGAGACAGCTTTTGTTAGTTTATGTATCACATGCTTTTATCTGCTTTTACTACTTTCTTGATATAGAGGGTAAAATTTCCAATTCTATTGCTCTAATATAAAGGATAAATATTCCAGATTTTCATTTTTTTCTAGTTTCTCTTGATCTAAGAAGTAGGCTTATGAACTAAAGTTGTGTAATGGGATTCATAGAGAAGTCTCCTTGGTATGACAGTTTCTCCTAGGAAAAATTTCTTGACAAGAAATATACTACAACAGCAGTTCACCTTCCGTTTTGAGTGCAGAAAATGTGTTTAGGATTTTGACAGACTTTAGCTGGGTGCAGTGGCGCACGCCTGTGGCCCAGGAGGCTGAGGCAGGAGGATTGTGATTTCAGAAGCCAGCCTCATCAAACTCAAGGCGCTAAGCAACTCAATGAAACTCTGTCTCTAAATAATATCCAAAATAGGGCAGGGGAGGTGGCTCAGTGGTTGAGTGCCCCTGAGATCAATCTCCGGTACCCAAAAACAAAAAGACAAAGTTTAGGTCCTGAGATTTATTTAGCATAAACCACTTTTAGTAAGATATTATTTTCACTAAGAGCATTCAAATTATTATAAAAACTGAATTTGAATTTGCCAATCTGGCATACCCCTCTGTGGGAGAAGGAATACCCAACTCCATCCCATTCTAGCCATCATTTTCTATCTGAAGGCAGGAAGCACTCATGGTAATCAATGTCCAGAGGCATAGACTCCATCATAGAACCATACAACACTTTGCCTCTTCCTGGCCATGCTATCACACACAGCACTAGAGCTTGCTGGAGTTGGGTATTTCCCAAATCCCAAGTCAATTAGGCTCTAGCTAAGCTTCTCCTGAGCACAGGCCCTATTTATAAGAGTGCTCTGACATGTTTCAAAATGGTTTCATGTTCTCCTCCCCATGCCAGTAGCATAAGAGCATTTGTATCCAATATTTACTGTGAGAAACTAATGAAACTCCTATAAGTAGAACTCACAGAAATATGGGATCCTTCTATGAATGGGTTCCCCTGAAGATTTTAACTTTCAGACTTTTACAACACTGAGTACCCAACAATTCATTAGTTACAGTTCAGATCTTCCTGCCCCAGCACTGGTTCCTAGGGTGTTTACCACTCATGAGTCTCTGCTTCAGTGAATTGTGACTCTTCATATTCTCCTATTTATCTCTGTAGTATTGGAGGTTGTCATTTGTCCTGTGTCCTTACCTCTTTTGTATATCTGAAAGAAATCATTGATTTTCTTTATTATGCTTAGCTTTTTAATTGTTAGGTGGAATGGCAACTTCCCAGCTCCTAGCATGCATGTAAAATTAGTAACCAGACATCTGTTCTTCAGTTTGTTTGTTTTTTTTACTGTGTCTAAATAGAAGCTATGTTGACATTTAACAAAACAAATTGTACTTGCTAATTTGTTTTTATTCACCATTAATAGATATAAACACTGATTACCTGGCAGAGAGATCTATTGAAGAAGTTTATTACCTTTGGTGTTTGGCTGGAGGTGACTTGGAGAAAGAGCTTGTTAATAAGGAAATCATTCGATCCAAACCACCTATCTGCACACTTCCCAAGTAAGGAAAGAAAACTTCTCTTGGAAATGGAAAAAACAAACAAACAAAATCTGGTAATAACCCCCAAAATAGTTTGGCTAATTTTTTTTTCCTTTTGTAAACATTCCAACTAAATGATTATACAGAAAATTGGAAGTCAATCCCTTGTTTGATTGATCAGAGAGTGTGTGTGTGTGTGAGTGTGTGTGTGTTTTTATCTTGAGACGCATCTCACTGAGTTGCTTAGCTCCTCCTATTTGCAGAGGCTGGCTTTGAACTCAAGATCCTCCTTCTCAGCCTCCGCGGAGGCACTGGGATTAAAGGCATGCATCTCACTGTGCCCAGCTGATCAGAGTTTCTAATTGCAAAGATTTTGTCAATATTTTTACTGTGTTTAAATATTATTATTATTATTTTTTGGAGGAGGATACCAGGGATTGAACTCAGGAGTACTCAACCACAAAGCCACATCCCCGGCCCTATTATGTATTTTATTTAGAGACAGATCTCACTGAGTTGCTTGGCAACTTGCTTTTGCTGAGGCTGGCTTTGAACTCATGATCCTCCTGCCCCAAGATGCTCGGGTTACAGGCGTGCACCACCATGCCCAGCTTAAAGATTATTTTTGATAAATAATTTGCTTTATGATCCATTTGAATAGCATCAGAATAATATTTCCAAAACAGAATTTCCTCTAAACTCTACCTGAGAAAATTCAAATTCTTTGATTGTTGTTGTTTGTTAAATTTTTTCTTTTTAAGACCATTTATTAAGAACTTTAGTTTTAAGTTAGTGTTGTGGAACATTGTGCAATAATTGATATTAATGAAAAGTGTATGTCAGAAAGTAATAGTCAAAGTAGTTAACAAACTGGACTAGTATATACTATTATAGAAAACTGTGTCCTTTTTCTAAATACACTTATAAGGTTAAGCTCTGTGGCTTCACTTTCTGTGCTTACAGTTTAGAAAAATCTGAAATACACTGAATTATTAATTAGATCGGAAGTTAAATAAGTATTCCTAAGGGCCAAAATTGTCATTACTGTACATTACTATTCCTATTTATTCAGGAAACTATGAACATGAATTTCTTTTCTTTTGATACTAGGGATTGGACCATGGATGCTCTACCCCCAGCCTTTTTTTTATTTTTATTTTGAGACAGGGTCTCCCTAAGTTGTTGAGGTTGGTCTTGAACTTATGATCCTCCAACCTGAACCTCTCTAGTCACAGGGATTACAGGCATGAACCCAGAGTGAACATGAGTTTTTTGAGCTTCTATCCATGGTTTAAAATTTTAATTTTAGATTATAGAACAGGTTTGCTTATTGCAGATAAGTTTTGAAACCATCTGCTCTTCCCTTTTTTTTCTTGGCATTTTTATTTTGATAAATTATTTGGATAGACCACTAGGTTTCCACGTTTTTTTCCTTTAAAACTGATTTTTAGATGTATTTACTTCAATTATACCACTCATCCATTGAATTAAGTAAAAAACAGGAATGAAGATGATGGAAATACTAGGAAGAAATGATTTGAAAGATATATAGATTCTTATTTATTTATTTTTGTATGTCAGGGATTGATCCAAGAATGCTTAACCACTGAGCCACATCCCCTGCTCTTTTTTTTTTTTTTTTTTCTTATTTTGGGACAGGGCCTTGCTAGTTGCTGAGACTGTCCTCAAACTGGCGATCCTCTTATCTCAGCCTCCTAAGTCCATGGAATTATAATCATGAGCCACCATGTCTGGCATATAGTAATTCATTGAAATTTTAATATTAATTTTTTTTTTAGTTTTCAGCAGACACAACATCTTTGTGTGTATGTGGTGCTGAGGATTGAACCCGGGCCGCACGCATGCCAGGCGAGCCGCTACTGCTTGAGCCACATCCCCTGATTGAAATTTTAAACAATCAATTGTTAGTCAATATTCTTTCCCCTGAGAATTGAGAATGTGTTTTTTCTTTTTCCCTTTATCATTTTTCACCTATATAAACTTCAGGAACATCTTTGTATAGTGTCAGGATAGTAAGTTTAGCATTGAAACTACATGAACAGTTGTAAATGATAACCTTGTATTCCTAAAATGCATTTATTTTGTGTATGTAGGGGGGTAGTAATAGGGATTGAATCCAGAGACAGTTTACCAATGTGCTACTTCCTCAGCTCTTTTTATTTTATTTTGTTTGCTAAATTGCCAAGACTGCCTTCAACCTTGTGATCATCCTGCCTCAGCCTCCTAAGTAGCTGGAATTACTGGCAATTGCCACTGCATCCAACTGTGCAATGCTTTATATATAAATACTGTGTTCATATCAACTCAAGAGATATCTAAAAATAGGACTTGTTTGGAGAAGTCTCAACTACCAATTATACCTTCTAAAATTTATTTCTTGATGAAGGGATTATTACTTTGAAAAATTTTATGTTCTAGAAAAAAACAATAAAATGGATTTTATATGCTAATTATAATTTTTTTAAAAATCTCTTTTAGTTTTCTCTTTGAAGATGGTGAAAGCTTTGGACAAGGACGAGATAGAAGCTCCCTATTAGATGATACTACTGTTACATTGTCTTTATGCCAGCTAAGAAACGTAAGAAAAATACTTTGCCAAATTTGCTTCAGGTATTTTTAAAAATACCTTTAAAGATGCACATGAAGCTTTGTACCCCTCCCAGATTTCATAAAATATGTGAGAATTTCTGTAAGATATATGCCACAGAGTGCAATTTCTAGAAAATAGAATCTGTATAATTTTAGCTTTATTATATATTGTGTGATTCTTCACAAAAATGATTGTTCATCTTTTCATCATCGTTGGATAAATGTTCTCATTTCTCCACTTAGGGTTATTACTTTTTAAAAAATCTTGTTTTTGTTAATCTAGTGTTATAAATTATATTTTTCAGTGATACTAATCCTAATCTTCTAATTTTTGGTGCATTTATCAGCCTATTCATATTTTTAGCTGTTCATATATACTAGTTCATATCTTTTATCACTATTTCTGAATAATTTCTTATTGATTTGAGGGCTTCTAAAAACTACATCCAGATGTGGTGTCTTTGTTGGCTATGTGTCATCTTCTAATCTTTCGTTTTTCTTTTAATTGGACTTTTAGTGAATAGAATTTGAAATTTTTATCAACATCTTTATTTCTAATTAAATATATTTTATTTGATATATTGTGCTTGTTGTAACCTATTTAAATTTGTATCAAGTTATAAATATTTTTTGTAATATTTTTCTGTATTGTTTCTAAAATATTTAAATAATTTTTATCATATTTAGTTCTTTAATCTACCTGGAATTTATATCTAAAGTACTTGTGACAAAGATGTCCAATTGCATTTTTTGTTCATAAGAAATAATCCCTTGTCTCATTACCATATGTTAAATAGATTATTTTCTCCTGTTTTGATCTGTAATTCCATCTTTTTGGAATATGCATGGATATGTGTCTGAGTATTTCTACTCTGCTTTGTAGGCCTGTTTGTTTAACCTTAGCCAGTTTTACAGTGCATATACAGATTCTTCATAGTAATTCCTTGAAATTTTAAACAAATTCCATCAATTGGAAGAGCCTCAATTTATTATCTTAAAATGGGATAGGAGCTCTTTAACATCTTGCTCTACTATTGATTTCTATTATCATCTTACAGAGTTTCATTAAAATATGTATAGGATTTCGATTGCAATTACATTGAATTTATAGGTTTATTTATAGGAAATTGATATTTGTAAAATATGGAGTCCTATTTTTTGAACATTCCATAGGTATGATATTTATTAAAGTTCTTATAAATTTTCTTTATACTGTCTATATTCATTATCAGATGCATTCTTACTTCCACTATCATAAATAGAATGCATTTATATGTATTATTTTTTCTAACTTTTATTATGAAAATTTTTAGAGAAGAGTTGAAAAAATTTTGCAGTAAACAACTTAGTACATAGATTAGGGGTTGGTATGATGTCTTGGTCAAATCAAGTCACACCTATTATTTACCTATTATTTAGAGCTGTTTTGCTCTACATTGACAGAGTTAAGTGGTTGCAACAGAGATCACATGACCCAAAAAGCTAAAAATATTTATTATATGTCCCAACAATTAAATATTTTGCTATATTCTAACATAGAGTCTATAATTAACATTTTGCTTTATTATGTATGTCTCTACCCCTCTAGCCATTTGTCCAATCATCTTACTTTTTGTTCTTTATTACTGCAATTTAACATATACAGTAACTGGAGTTAAAGTTTGCATTTGATTTTTTTAAAAAATATTTCTTAGTTGTAGATGGACACAATATCTTTATTTTTATTTATTTTTATGTGGTGCTGAGGATTAAACCCAGGGCCTCACACATGCAAGGCAAACACTGTACCACTGAGCTAAAACCCCAGCCCATGCTTTTGATTCTTTTCAAGGTAAAATTTGTGTATGGTAAATGCCTGGCCTTTAGAAAAAAAAGATGTAAAAAATTTTAGTTTTTTTGTTTCTCTAGATATTGTTTATCAGAATGAAGACATTCCTTTAATTTTAGTTTGCTGAGAATTTTTATCAAGAATGGATGTTGGATTTTGTCAAATGCTTTCATGCATGTTTTGACAAAGTTTTAAGATTTTTTCTTTAACCTGTGGATATGATGATTTATATTAGTTGATTTATGCATATTGAACCAGCCTTGTAAGCTTGAAATGAAATTTACTTGGATTATGGTATATAATTATTTTTATACATTATTTAGAGTCAAATGCTAGTATTTTATTGAGAATTTTTGCTTCTGTGCTAACAAGAACTATTGGCCTGCAGTTTTCCTTTTTTTGTAATGTGATTGTCTGTTTTTAGGATAATTCTGCCCTCAGAGAATAAAGAAGTATTTCCTCTGCTTATGTACTCAAAGAGATGATTATAATTTTTTTCTTAAACATTTGTATTCCCTAGTGAGCTCATCTGGTCTAGATACCTTCTGTTTAGGAAAATTATTAACTATCGATTCTGTTTCTTTAATACATATTGATATATTCAGGCTTATACATTTCTCCTCCTTTGAGTTTTTCTAAATTATGTCTTTCAAGGAATTGGCAGTTCTGGGTTTTTTGGGGTTTTTTTTTTGGTGGGAGGGTACTAGGATTGAACTCAGGGGTACTTGACCACTGAGCCACATCTCCAGGCCTATTTTGTATTTTATTTAGAGACAGGGTCTCATTGAGTAGCTTAGTTCCTCGCTTTTGCTGAGGTTGGCTTTGAATTCACAATCATCCTGCCTCGGCCTCCTGTGCTGATGGGATTATAGGTGTGCACCATCACACCCAGCCTCCAGCTCTATTTTGATGATTGTTTAGTATATCTTTCTCTATTTGTTACTTATAATCTGCCTCTATTGTTATGTTTAATGTGAGTGAACTTATATTAGTTGTAAATGTATATTGTAAACTCCAAAGCAAACAATAATAAATTTTCGAGAAATATAATTCCTATTGTAAGAAGGAAAGAAAATCAATCATGTAAAATGATCAATTAAAACCAGAGAAAATAGAAAAAGTGTGCATATTAATATGATATGCCTAAGTGTTGACTTTTGGTGTATATCCTACTTTTCTCTGAGTTTCCTCAATCTTTGTTTTGATGTCTATTTAATTTTGAAATTTCTTAGGTAATATTATGTAATGTTATTTTTGTATCCATACTGACAATCTCAATCTTTTAATTGTTGTATTTGGACTATTCATATTTAAAGTGATGATTGTTAGATTTATATCTATCATCTACAAACTATTGTTGTTCATTGTCCATTACTGTGCTATTGCTATTCCTTTACCTTTTACTTTTTGTATTTTCTCTGATTTTAATTGATCAATTTTACTTCTCTTAAACATTTTTAGTATTTGCCTTAGAGTTTGCAAAATACATTTACAAGTAACATAAGTTCACTTTCACTACATTGCAGATAGAGAGTGCAGGTATTTTATAACAGTGTATGTGTAAATCCTTCTCCCATCCTTTATATCATCGCTATCATTCATTTAACTTATCCATAGACTATTAACAAATAAATTGTTGCCATTATTATTTTGAACAAATTGTTATCTTTTAAACCAATTAAGAATTAAAAAAAAGAAAGATGTATATTTTAAAGTTCAGTTATAACCTTCTTTAAACAAACATTAATTCTTCCTTTCTTTAGGTGAATTCAGATTTCTGACTTTTATAATTTTCCTTAACCAGGGCTACTGACAACAAATTTACTTAATTTTCTTTATGAAGAAATATATTCCTTTTTCACTTTTAATGGATAATTTCACTTGGATACGAATTCTGGGTTGTTAGCCCCCCCCCCTCCCCCTCACACACACACCCTGTAGTACTTGAATATTCTACTTCCATCTCTTTTTTGCTTACATGATTCCTTAAGTGAAATTCAGCGTATTTTTTATCCTCATTCCTCTGTGTGTAAGGTGCTCCCCATCCCCTGGCTACTTTCAGGATTTTCTTTTTGTCTTTGATTTTCTGCAATTTGAATATGATATGCCTAGGTGTAGACCTTCGGTATGTGTTCTGCCTATTCTCTTAGTTTCCTGGATCTTTGATTTGATGTCTATTTAATTCTGGAAATTTCTTAGTTACTATTATGTAAAATATTTCTTCTATTTCTTCTTATATTCCTATTATATGTATACTTTTTGTAATTGTCACGAGGTTTTTGGATATTATATTTATTTTTCTCTTTGCATTTCAGTTTTCAAAGTTCTTTTTGCCATATCTTTTATCTTCCTTGTCCATGTCCAGTATACTGATATCTCTCAAAAGGATTATTTCTCTTATGATGTCTTCCTTTCGTTCTAGCATTTCCTTTTATTTCTTTATTGGGATTTCCAATTCTTGCCTATATTACCATTTGTTCTTTTATGTTTCCCACTTTTTCCATTTAGAGCCTTTAGCAAATTAAACAGTTGTTTTAAATTCCTGGTATGATAATTTTAGTATCTTCTATTTCTCAGTTTGTTCTGAAGCTTGCTTTATCTTCTCAGGCTGTCTTGTTTGCTTGCCTTTTAGTGTGCCTTGTAATTTTTTGTTGAAGACCAGACATGATGTACTAGATAAAAGTGGTAAATAGGACTATAATTTAAGATTTCATGTTTATGTAGCTAGGAGGTTATTAATAGTTTCCTAAAGCAGTGGTGTCAAAGGCTAAAATTTCTTCTATTGTTCTTTGTTATTTTCTTCTGTTGTCTTTGGATTTCCCTAAAAATCTCTTGTTAAAATACAGTCTAAGGCTTGTAGTTCTTCAGTTCAAACTTACCCTGTCAGAGAGAAGCCCCATTAATATGGTGATGAAGCAAAGGGGAAGAGAAGTGTCCAAAATCCTATGATTTTGATCTTCATTGTTTAGTAAGCTTGTATTCCTAGAATATGATCTGTTCTTCACAAGTACTTCTTAGCTTCCCTTTCCCACCTCTTTAGGTGAGACAGAAAGCTAGCAGGCCTGGAGTTTGATATTTCTCTTCCCCCACAACAAATACTAGAAGGGACTAGAGTTCAGTTACCCTTCTTTCTTGTCATTTAGGCTGGTAAACCCCCCAAATTGGTTAAGATCCAACAAAAAGGCTTCACAGGGGGCAGAGTTTGTTAAGGAAAATAGCACTCTGGGTATTTCAAATTGGTTATGTTTCCCCTCTTTATACAGGAAGTATAAGGGGATTTCTCTGTCTACCTGAGAACCTGGAGTACTAGTAGTAGTAAATCTCGGAAACATAAATTTCTTCCTGTCTGGGCCTCTAATAGTTTTCTGTCTCAAGTTAGTCTGTGCTTAGTCTGCATTAATTGTTTTTACCTGTGCTTAGTCTGCAGTAATTGTTCTTACTAGGTTCTTACCAAACAGTGGCTTCTGCTTCTGGTAAGCTATATATTTGCCTGTTTTTCCAATTTGGGGAACTGATAGCTCTGAGAAGAGTTTTCAATTCATATGGCCTTTTTTCTTACTACGGTAAGAGCAATCATTTCCAAAAGGTTTTTAAGTATTTTTTCTTTTAATTTAAAAATTTTTTCTAGTTATGCATAGCAGTAGAATGTATTTTGACACATTATACATAAGTAGAGTATAACTTATCATTCTTTTGGTTGTTGCTTTCAAGTTCTTCCCTTTTTATTTTTCAATCATCCATAGCCAAGACAAAAATGATACTCTACTTTGTTGTGTGCATCTAGGTTAGCAATTCCAGCACCACCCTCCCAACCCCCAGCCACAAACACATACATAGTTCAGTCTTTACCTGGCTTTAGCAGAGGCTTCTATAGTCTGGCTACCTTTATGCATGCACCCAAGTTGTATCCCTTTAAACTCCAATCTCTAGGCCACAGTTGTCAGTATATTTCAGTGGTGTTCTCTGTACACAGTTTGTGTCTGTTATCACTGCATTTTTTTTTTTACTTTTTAGTGCTTTTCCACCCATCTAATATTATAAATATTATATAGTAGGTGGGCCTTATAACATCTTGTCTATTATAATGTCAACAACAACAGAAAATTACAATATCACAACTCAATACACTGAATTTATGATCTCTAGAAGGATGTATAAAGTGGAAAGATAATAATACAAAGCAGCAAATATAAATTACCTCTGAAGTATATGGTGTCATTTGATTTTGTTATACTCTTAATTTGTTTTTGGTTTTTTTTTTAGTTTAAATAAAATTGAAGCCAAGTTAAAGGAACTCAAGGCTTCCATTCTATTATTTCCATTTCCTTGTAGTTGTACTTTTAAAATTTAAAATATTTTCCCTATATAATTATTAAGAAATGTTAATTTGTTCATTTTTAAGGTAATGTGGAACACAAATAGTATGTTTTACCCTAAATATTCCTGTGTATTTTCATCCTTTTGTAATCTATATGTACTAAGTTTTAGAAAAGACAATCCGAAAATATGCTTATAAAATAGTATCTGTTATATTCAGGATATTCAAAGCCAACCTTTAAAAAAGATGTGTTTTAATAATATAGTAAAACTTGGAAATTTTTACTTTATTGAAAATTTGAATCTATGAATCTCAGGTATAGAGCTTAATAAAAGGATAAATACATAGCATATTAAGTTTTAGAGAAGAGCCAGGTATAAATCTGGTGTTTGTCAAATTTTCAGGGTTGCGTAAAGATTTTCTTTGACTTTTAAAATTCTGGAAATAACTCACTTGGGTACATGATGAGTCTTATCAACATAGAACTTAAACTTTTGTGTCAATCCCCATAGAAGCAGATATTCTGCCTTCAAATTGGAAGTTGAAGAACACAGTAGCAGGCAAGATTGCATTAACTATAATCACCTTGCTTAGGATGAGGCTAAGATTTTAGTACTGCTTGCCTGCATATATTTTTAAAAAATAATCTTAGCAATATTATTATTCGTAGCAATGTTTAGTGTAATGATTTTGTGGGGAAAAATCATTAATCAAATTTTGTCAGTTGATTTGTTAACTATGGTATATGCTCAAAGTATGATATAAGAAATTATGTTGAATCCTTTACTAACACTTGACTTTGACTTAGTTTGTGTTATGCCTAAGTAAAAGTAAGTTGGGCTTTTAATGTGTGTGTGTGTGTGTCTGCGTGCGTGTGCGTGTGTGTAAATTGTGTATATATAGAGAACTTTTTAAAATATTTCTTCAAATGATTTAATAGTACTCATTTAAATTTTATATTAATGTTAGTAATTTTGTATTGTGTTGGGAAAAATATTATAATACGTGTCTAACATTTATTAGTGATATTTAGAGGTAAAAGAACAAAGTATTCTTCATTGCTAAGTCTTAATCAGTAGAGGCATGATATGTTTGCATGTTTGGAAGAAATAATTTTTAGATTCTGTTTTATATTTTTCTTGGTACTGTTACAAGTTTATGATTTTTACATTATTGTTTCTTTTAAATACACTCAGTGATGCTGCCTAAGGTGATTATACATCAATATTTTCTTTTAATTCATAGAGATTAAAAGATGTTGGTGGAGAATCATTTTATCCATTACTTGAAGATGAGTAAGTGTATATATATAGTCTCATTATATATTTATTTTTCTTTTCTGTTTGTATTAGATTTGTAAGAATTTTCTACATTTTTCTTGAAAAGTCCTTTCTAAATAGAACATTTAAAATGGTGTTTTAGTTTGTTAGAATTTTATACTCTTTTTGTCAATATTTTTGCTTTTGTTCTTTACAGTCAGTCTAATTTGCCTCACTCAAACAGCAATAACGAATTGTCTGCAGCTGCCACTCTCCCTTTAATCATCCGGGAGAGGGACACTGAGTACCAACTAAACAGAATTATCCTCTTTGACAGGCTGCTAAAGGTAAGGATTACAAAATATAAAGTATTAACAATAGCACATAAACAATTTTTTTATACTTTAATTCTTAGTGAGTTGTGATATCATGAGAAGACTAATTTTTTGGGACTAATCTTCTCTGATTAATTTTCTTTAATTATAAAAATGATACGAATTTATACAAAGTAAAATTAAAAAGCAAAAACAAGATGTGAGAACATATGCAAAATTATGTTAGATGAAGGATATTTTTTCTTTTTAAAGAAAAATTAAAGAAAAACACCATTATTTAAAGAGACAAGTGGATAAAGCACATAATACAAATACATAAATGTTTTCAAATTGTTCATCCTTAGTAGGAATGAAAAACCTAAAATTAATATAGGACTGTTTTTGAATATTAAAGTTGCAAAGTGAACAAAGGCATATGAAGTTTGGAATTGATTCTTTTAAAATAATTGTGAATTAACTGAAACATTTTCTAAAGTAAGTCAAACTACATCCATAACCTGTGTTCTAATAATTTTCTTCTAGAAATCTATCATAAAATGTAATTTATAATAGGAAAATTTTATATGCAACATATAGAAGTAGCTTTATGGCATATAGACTTTGAACACTTTTAGTATCACTAGATTTTTACAAAACTGTTTTTATACATTATCTTGTTTAACCCATATGAGGCTGATACCCTAATTCTCTATATGACCTTTCATAATCTGCCCAGAGCACAAAATAAAGAGTGAGTTAAAATACGCTCCTTTTTAATTATATTTTACAAATTTTAGAGAGGATTAGGGTCCATTCCACTGCTTATTTGTATAAATGAAACTGGACCCTGTGATTAGAAATACTTAGAAATATATTCCAGGACACTTCAATATTATCACTGGTATATCAAGAACTATATAGACTAAAAGTTGAAATTTTTTTCATTTATTTTATGTTGTTTTTATTATTTAATTGACAAAATATACATATTGATGGGGTACAATGTGACATTTTAAGGCATTTCTACATTGTATGGTGTTTGAATTAAGGTAAGCATATCTATCTTCTCATTTAACATTTCTTTGTGATGAAAACATTCAATATCCTTTCTTCTAGCTTTTTTGAAGTGAATAATGCATTAGTATTATTTAGAGTCACAGTAGTATGCAAAGGAACACCAGAATTAATTTCTCCTTTCTAACTATAACTTGTTATCATTTCACTTAACACCTGTATTCCTGTTATGTCCATGTTGTCACAAGTGACACAATTTCATCCTTTTAAGCCTGATTAGCATTTGTGTGTGTATACACCAAATTTTCTTTGTCCATTCTTCAGTTGATGAACACAGGTTGATTCCATTTCTTGACTACTGTGAATAGTGCTACAATAAACATGAGAGAAAGTGAAGATGTCTCTTTTATATCCTGATCACCTTTGGATGATCAGCAATGGATCATATGATAGGTCTATTTTTAATTTTTTGAGGGAACTTTATATTGTTTTGTAGAATGGCTTTAGTAATTTACATTCCCACCAAAAGTGTATAACTGTTCCCTTTTTTTCCACATCCTCAACAGACCTTATTATATTGTTTTTTTAGTAGTAACCATTTTTAACTTAAGGAAGAAGAAATAATAACTCATTGTGGTTTTGCTTTGCTATTGATTAGTGATGGTCTTCATTTTTTTAAAAAATTATTTATTTATGCATTTTGTGTATATGTATGCATTTATTTTTTGCAATTGATATTTTGGAATTCTTACACATTCTGGATATCCACCCCTTGTCAGATGTATAGTTTCCCAGTTTTTTGGTTGTTGTTGTTGTTCTGTATTCTATCTTTTCATTCTGTTGTTTACTTTGCTGTGCAGAAACTTTTAAATTTTTTATAATCCCACCAAGTTTTGCTTTTGTTTTCTGTGCTTTTGTAGTCTTGTCCAAAAAAATCCTTGCTCATGTCAGTGTCTCTATGTGTTTCTCCTGTTTTATTCCAATAGTTTCTAAGTTTTAGGTCTTACATTTAAGTCTGTAATCCATTTTGATTTGATTTGTATAAATGGTGAAAAATAAGGGTCTGATTTCATTGTTTTGCTTGTGAATATCCAATTTTTTCAGCTCCATTTATTGCAGAGACTCTGTGTATATGTGTATAAATGCTTGAATTTACTTTTAGGCTCTCTGTTATGTTTTGTTTTGTTTTTTTTCTATGTGTTGGTTTTTGTGCCCGTTTCATGATGTTTTGTTTTTTGTGGCATTATGATATATGTATGTGTATGTATGTATGTATGTATATATATATATATATATATATATATATATATATATATATATATGCGTGTGTGTGTGTGTTTATGTTTGTTTATTTATCTACTTTTTATTATTATTTGGTACTGGGAATTGAGCCATAGGGTGATTTACTACTGAGTTACATCTCCAGTCCTTTTTAATTTTTATTTTGAGACAGGGTCTTACTTAGTTGCCTAGGTTGGCATTGAACTTGTGATCCTCTTCTTGCCTCAGCCTCCTGAGTCACTGGGATTATAGACATATGACACTGTGTCCAGGGTTTGGTATATTTTGAAGTCATGTATTGTATCCATATTTTTTCTTTTTGCTCAAGATTGCTTTGGGTATTTGGATAGGGAATGCATGAATCTGTAAATTAACTTTGGGTAGTATGGCTATATTAATAATATCAATTTTTGCAATCTGTGAACACAGAATATCTTTCCTTTGTGTCCTCTTCAATTTCTTTCATTAATGTTTAATAATTTCATTGTGGAGATATTTTTACCTCTTTGGTTAAATTTTATCCTAGGGTTTTATTTTTAATGTAGTTTTATTAACAGCTGTGGAAGATAGCCATCCTACAGCTGTGATGGTGATACCTCAGCCTGCTGTGGCTCCTCTCTGGGTAGTGACAAGGAGATGATGCTCTGATGAGCTAGTTGAAGCCCAACAAGCTGCTGTGGATGCAACCCTCTGGGACACTACACATAGCAAGGCAGAGACACTGCCTTGATGTAACACCATGTGTCACAGGCCACCTCTCCAACCCATGTCTGTACCATAGGAGACAAGCCTGTGTAGATGGAAGGCATGAGATGCATATACTTGTACCCTCTTGAATGCCCCTCACCATACCCACCCTAAACAGTACTAGGTAAGGTGGTCATTATAAGATATCCCACCATGTCCCCAAGTGCCGCAGTCTGGCTGGGCACAATCAGGAGCCACTTGTCAAAAGAAACTAACTTTATTTTTAGAACCACACACGCCAAACAAAACAGCTCCTCAGGAAAAACCCTCAGAGCCCCAACTGCCACCACCGGCTTCCCACAAGCCTCTCCCTCAACCACCGGCCTCTCCACCTCCCCCCCATCCTCCTGCTCTTGAGGCTGATTGGCTGGGTCGCATGGGCGGAGCCAAAAAAGTCCCCCAATGAGCAGATCCGTGGTCTGAAAGGGCAGGGAAACAGCCCAATGAGCATCACCGCAGAGGAGCCAATCAGCTAGATGTTGCTGGGGCCGCTGTGAGCCAATCATCAGCTGGCAGTCTGAAAGGGCGGGGAAACAGCTCAATGAGCATCTCCAATGAGCATCACCGCAGAGGAGCCAATCAACTAGATGTTGCTGGGGCCTCTGTGAGCCAATCATCCCCCGGCAGCTGGAAGTTTGCTGGGGCCCCTTTGGCTGTGGCTCTCAACACCCAAGTGCTAGCTTCAGCAATAGGCTATGGGTTGGGTTTGTTTCACCTCTGCTGACATCAGAAGCCCTCACCTCAGACTCAGTCTTCATCACAAGTATTCCTAGGGGTTTTGTCTGTCTGTAGCTGTTGTAAATGGGATTGCTGTTTTAGTTTATTTTTCAGATAATTTACTGTGGTAGAAATGCTACTGGGTTCTGTATGGGTACTAAGTGGTATCCCACTGTATTTTATATATTGGAAATTTGCTGAATTCATTTATCAGTTTTAATAGTTTTTAGGCAGTCTTTGAAATTTTCTATAACAGAGGTTCATGTATTCTGCAAAGTTATTATTTCTTTCTCTTGCACAGTTGCTCTGACTAGAACTTTCAGTTTTGTGTTGAATAAAAGTAGTGAAAGTGGACATCTTGGTCTTATTCCAGATCTTAAAAAGAAAGCTTTCAACGTTTTTCTGTTCAGTATGTTAACTATTACATATATGGCCTTTATTATGAGGACAATATTACCCTGAGGCACTTTCCTTCTATACCTAACATGTTCACGTTTTTTAATCACAGAAGGAATGTTGAATTTTATCAAATGTTTTTTCTTCATATATTGAGATGATCATATGATTTTTGTCCTTCATTCTGTTAATGTGGTACTAAGTGGTATTTTATTTAATTAATTTGTGTATATTGAACCATCCTTATATCCCTAAGTTGTATCCCACAAGATCCTGGTGGATATTTTGAATATGCACTTGGATTCAGTTTGCTAGAAATTTGAAGATTTTTTTCATCCAGGATATTGGTTTGTTGTTTTACTTATTTGTTTCCTTGTCTGGTTTTGATATCAGGGTAATACTGTTCTCATAGAATGTGTTTAGAAGAATTCTTCTTTTTTATTTTGAGAATAATTGGCATTGGTTCTTCTTTAAATATTTGGTGGAATTCAACAATCTGGGCTGGGTTTTACAATGACAGGGCAGTTTTTGTTATTGATTCAATCTTGCTATTATTAATTTTTTTTTTCAGATATTCTATCTCTTCATAATTCAGTTTTGGAAAGGTTTTGTGCCCAGGATTTTGTCCATTTCTTCTAGGTTATCAAATTTATGGGAGTATAACTTTTACAATCATCATTAATGATTTTTTGCATTTCTATGATATCAATTGTAGCATCTCTTTTATTCACATTTTATTTTATTTTTTGAGTCATCTCAACTTTTCCCTTCATCTCACTAAGAGTTTGTCAATTTTGTTTATATGTTTGAGAAACCAATTCTTCATTTCCTCAGTCTTTTTGTATTGTCATTTAGTCTATTTCATTTGGTTTCTTCTCTGATCATTATTAGTTACTTTTCTAATTTTTGTTTTGTTTTGTTCTTATTTTCCTAGTTCCTTGAGATATGGTGATAACTTGTCTATTTGAGGTGTTTCTGCTTCTTTAGTGCAGTTATTGATTTCTGTAAACTTCCCTTTGGTACTGTGTTTACTGTTTTCCATAGATTTTATTACATTGTTTCTGTTATTTGTTTTGAAGAAATTTAAATTTTCTTCCTAATTTTCTCATTGATCCATTGGTTTATTCAGAAGCATGTTGTTTAATTTCTATGCATTTGTATGGTTTCCAGAGTTTTTCTAGTTATTGATGTCTAGTTTGAATACACTGTGATGGGAAAAGTGATTTTAATTTTTTGAACTTTTTTAAATTTCTTTATTTATATCATAGGCTTATCCGTATAAAAAAAATCAAATTTGGAAAGAAGCAAGAGTTGACATTCCTCCTCTAATGAGGGGTTTAACCTGGGCTGCTCTTCTGGGAGTTGAGGTAAAAAAGAAAAGAGAAGGTTAGAAGTTGATTAATAAATAGTGCTAATAAAAGATTTTAAAAAAGTGTTTCCATATATGCTTTTAAATTATTAGAAAATTATATAGTAAATATGAACATTAGAATATTTGGTTATTTTTAAGCAGAAAGAATACAGAAGAAAAGAATAGAGTAGAAAAATTATTTGAAGATTTGTTGGGTTTATGCTATTTAATATTTTATTTAGTGGTTCTCACTGAAAGTCTTCCCTTTATTCTCCTGTAGATATCTATTACCAACAACTGAAAATTGTTTGACCCCCCCCAAATTTTTAATCCTTTTGGAACTATGTTAGAAGAATTTCCTTTTTTAAAATTCTTGATTGCTTTGATGAAGTCTATAAAACTGTTTGAATTTAGTTGATTACTTTACAAGAATATCTACTGTCCATGTAATATATTAATTTTTAGTATTATAAGAATTATAATACTCAAGTCCAAGAGGATTTCTGATGTCAGATTGTCTAAATCCCAAAGAAATTGATACAGCAAATAATATCACCAAATTTCCCTGTGTTTTTCCTCTATCATGATTATGAGCCAGAAAAGTAAGAATTTTTAATGCTCAGTCCTATAGAATATGACCAAAATTTGAAGTAGTTGACTCGTGTATTCTTTCTGTATTAAAAAAACTGAAAAATATAGATGACCCCATTAGTCCCAATGTTTTATAATTCATGATATCCAGTCCATCCCAAACTTCTGTTTTCAGGTACCATACTACTACTTTGAAATGTTCCATTTTATTTTTCTTTGTTTACTAACTTTTAACAGAAAATTGTTTTATGACACCCCACCCCCTGCCAAAATCCCTTCTATTTATGAAATTTGCTATTTAAAAGTCAACAATGGATAGAAAAACGATAAAGCTGTGTTATACTTAGTATCTAAATGACACACAGAACTTTTTAATCTTTTGGTCTATACCGTTCACAAGTCTGCTTGTTAAAGATATAAACAATTACTCTTTAAGTTGAAGTATAACTTGGATTTGAATACACGTATATTGGGTAGGTTTTCAAAATACATATTCGTAAGAAATAGGTTTTTCCTCTTGCATATCCACAATTTAAAAATATGAACTCTACAAAATGCTCCAAAATCTGAAAATTTTTGAGTGCTGACACACTGCTCAAAAAGTCATATTTTGGAGCATTTCAGATTTTGAATTTTCAGATTAGCGATACATAGCTAGTACAATTTATGCCAATATTTCAAAATCAGAAAAACTCCAAAGTCTGAAACATTTCTGGTCCCAAGCATTTAGAATAGGAGATATTTGCCATGTATTGTCAATTTTATTAAGGATATTAACATTTTGTTTTTTTTCAGGGAGCTATTCATGACAAGTATGATGCAATTGATAAAGATACTCCAATTCCTACAGATAGACAAGTAAGTTTTTTTAAGTAACATAAGATAACTCTGCCTAGTATTTAAATTTTAGAAAAGCATGAGGAAAATTTTCTCCTTTCATTATTAATATTCAGCTGCCTCTTATGCTCATAAATTAATGACTAGAACAACATTTTATAGGACTTTAGGTTGAGTAACCCACTTTGAAAAATGATAATGATTCTTTTCCTGAAAATTTGGCACTTTATTTAGGCCAAAGCAATAAAGGAAGATATTTTTGAAAACTGTCAATACATGTCTTTTCAAAAGAAATCCACTTCCCTTATTTAGATAAACATGAAACTTCTTTGTTACTTCTAGAAGATTAATAATATAATTTTGGAGGGATGTGGGGTACCAGGGATATAACTAAGGGTCACTTGACCACTGAGCCACACCCCACGTTCTATTTTATATTTTATTTAGAGACAGAGTTTCAGTGAGTTGCTTAGTGCCTCGCTTTTGCTGAGGCCAAACTTGCAATTCTCCAGCCTCAACATCCCAAGCCTCTGGGATTACAAGTATACACCACTGTGCCCAGCAATAATAAAATTTTAAACTTTAGACACTAGGATTATGAAGGTGAAATAAACTGAAATTCATATTATGCTCTCTACTCTTATTTAAGGAATGAGGTTATGGGTTTATAAGGGATCACTTTGTCATAATTATACCTTATTTCTTTGCTGTTTTTATAGATTGAAGTGGATATTCCTCGCTGTCATCAGTATGATGAGCTATTATCATCACCAGAAGGTCATGCAAAATTTAGGCGTGTATTAAAAGCTTGGGTAGTATCTCATCCTGATCTTGTGTACTGGCAAGGTAAATTTTTAGTTATTAAACTTTCCTTAGAGTAGTAAAACTAAGTATCAAATACCCTGCTTTCAGAAAAGTCAGTGCTAAAGCTCTGATTCACTTTAGAAAGGTTTATAGGAGAACATCTTTTTTTTAAGCTTTTGTCAAAATGCTTAGGAGATATCATTTAAATACTCCATATTTAAAATTAAACAACTTGCCAATCACATTGACTAGGAATGAGGAATATTTGGTGCTTTTGCAATCTCTGTGGATACAATCTTTTTTTTCTTTTTTCTTCTTTTGTAGTGGGGATGGGGCAGGAGTTGAACTCAGGGTCATTCGGCCACTGAGCTACTTCCCCAGCCCTATTTTGTATTTTATTTAGAGATAGGGTCTCACTGAGTTGCTTAATGCCTTGCTTTTGCTAAAAATGGCTTTGAACTCATGATCCTCCTCCCTCAACCTCCCAAGCACTGGGATTACAGGCAAGCACCACCACACCTAGCTCTGTAGATACAATCTTAAACTTGTACAAATATTAAGATAATATTATGCCATAAATAGTTTTGGAATGAGTTGAAATGTTTATTCATCATCCCTAGTTTATGTTTATCATAGTTATTAGGATTAAAGCATAAAATATTACCTCAAACTGCTCATTTTACTTATTACCTTGTTTCTCCCTAGAATCTTTACTTGTTAATTTTTAGCTCTTGCCATTATTATTTTTAATGGTCATTAAAAAATTTATAAATTAGAATCCCATTCCATGTTATTTTAATACACACCTAAATTTTGCGATTCTCTGGCTTCAGCATCCCAAACCACTGGGATTACAGGCGTGCACCACTGTGTCCCGCAATGATAAAATTTTAAATTAGGATTATGAAGGTGAAATAAATTGAAATTCATATTATGCTCTCTACTCTTATTGAATGTTTTGATATAATAGATGTTTTCCTATTTCTGTTTTTTACTCCCATACTTTAAATGAAGGTGTTATTTTTCCTGGGTTTGTATATTTCAAAGGTGTTTTATTTCTTCCTTAGCTATTGTAGATAAATTTAAGTGCATTTTGTCAACTTGACAACATATGAACAGCATTATTATCAGTGAAATAAACATATTAGATGTTTGTATTTCATTTCACAAATTTTAAAGGATTTTAAAAAAATATTTCAAAGAAAAAGAACATAAGGCAAAAACTTCATCTCCTAGATGAGAAAACATGCCTGAAGATGTTAATTGATAAGATCACAGAGTGTCAGAGATGGGATCATATTCCAAGCCTTCTGACATTTTTGTTTTTCTACTTCCATATTGCTTTTTACCTCATAATAATATTGTTAAGAATAACTTATTTGTTTTGGACACTTGCCATTTTTCAGACACTTAGATATTCCTCAGAATAACTCATGAAGGAATTCATGTCTGGGTAATACTTAAAATGCTTAATCTATTTGGAAGTATTGCAGAGAATTGAATGAGGTATATGTGTACAATTCCAATGGATTATTCATTTGACTCCTTTGTTCCAACCCTTCTGTGTTAGGTCTTGACTCACTTTGTGCTCCATTCCTGTATCTAAATTTCAATAATGAAGGTAAGGCTCTTTATCATGAAAATAATTGTTGTGAGTATTATCCTAAAATAATCGGTTGAAAGATTAAAGGTTTTTGTTTTAACGTTCTTCTATTCTACTTTGTAAATACTATAAAATTTTGTGAAAGAATCTCTTAAATTCATTTTAGAGAATGTGAAAGATTAATTTATTACTGGAGAGTTTTAGTTGTAATGACACAATGATTAGAGATTTTTGGGAATTGAACTGGTTATTCTAAATTCACTTACCTATATTGGTGACCATTTTATGAAACTTGAGAGAAGATTCTGACTCTCTAGAGATTAATTTTAGTCTAAGGATACTTTCTAAAACATTTGTAATAACTCCCTAGCTGCATTTTTCTTTGATTTTTATATCTCCAAAGCATGTCAGTTCAAACACACCTCTTTTTTTTTTTTTTTTTTTTAAGAGAGAGAGAGAGAATTTTAACATTTATTTTTTTTTTTTAGTTTTCGGCAGACACAATATCTTTGTTTGTTTGTGGTTCTGAGGATAGAACCCAGGCCGCACGCACGCCAGGCGAGCGCGCTACCGCTTGAACCACATCCCCAGCCCTCAAACACACCTTTTTAATGAAGACTTATTCTTCCTGACCTATATAGCATTTTGTATTTCAGGAAATTTACCTTGTTCTATTTTGTATTCTAGTAACTTAAATATTAATGTTTTAATAATTTTTGGTTAATGACAGGTTTTAGTTTTCAGCCCCTTGGCTTTCTTTTTATAGATTTTTCAATAAATATTTATTAGATTCAGTTGATTCAAATCCCAAATCCCTAATAATAGATCACATCTAGCGCATGTAATTGTATATAGCATTAATGTCTAGACATGTAATCTCACATTCTTTTTGGTATCAAAATATTCATAGATTTCTGGAATTGAGTAGCAGTAACATACTCCCAGAGAACTGAAATATCATATTAGACTGCTTTTAAAAACATGCTATTCTCTGATTTTCTCACTGATTAGACTAAAGCTTTTGTTATGTTTAGTTTGATGCATTCAATTATCACTCATACTGATCCAAGAATAGTAAAGGATCTGAGTTTGAAAGAATACGTTATAGCTATTAGTTCTAAATCCTAAAGTTTACAGTCTTGTGTACATCAGCATTAATTAAAGATTGTAAGATTTGTAGATATCATTAATGATATCAATTTGAGATATTTTAAAAAGACTTTTGTTGTCTAAAAGATTTTCTATTTTAAAGAACTGAGGTTTTCTTCCCCTTAATTTTGTATTTCTAGCACTTAATACCATAACTATTGTTTAACAGAAGAATTGAAGAATATGTGCTAAAAATGCTTATCATTTACCCTATTAACCAATCTTTTATTTGCCTTCTTCTTTCTTAGCCTTGGCTTATGCCTGTATGTCTGCTTTTATTCCCAAATACCTATATAATTTCTTCTTGAAAGACAACTCACATGTAATACAAGGTAAGCAAATATGTTTTCTTATCTTTTTTGCAGGGAAGTTACTTATATCAAAAATAACCAGTACTCAATTTAGTTTATGGTTTTGACCCCACAAAATTTGATGATGATCCATCACTAAAATTTACAAAGAGAAATGAGAAAGTTTAGTCTTTCCTTCAAGTCCACAAAAAAATCATATTTTTAAATGACTATTTAATATCTGATCTCAATTCAGTTCAAATGTAGCATGGTAGTTTTAGAATATTAGCGATTACTCTTTGTCTCTCCAACAATTAAAATTTTCTATAAAACGTGTTACCATTGAGCAAGCCTAGAGTAAATTAGAAAGACTTTAAAAAGCATTTAAATGTGTAAGTATTGAAAACACTTCTCATCCATCTCATTCCTAATGCTTAAACACCCCAAATAAACTTCCTCTTTCTTCACTTCGCTAAAACATATTTTCTCAGAGTACAAGTCAGAGCATAATTAATTTATCAGTACATTTAGGCTAACTTCAGCTGCATTCAAACTTCTAGTATAATTTTATGAACACCTTTTTGGAACTAGCATAGCAGAAGTTAAAAAATGTGTATTTTCTGATCAAATAAATTTTCTAATTTGAGCTTCATTGCTTATTGTGTAAGGAAGGACAAAAACAGTTTCTCTGTATGTCATTTTCCTCACATCTAAAATGAAAAGATTACTTGCAAACATTAAACATAATAAAAATTTAAAAGCCTAGCACATGAAACATTCAGTAACTGCTATTACTTATTTATTTATGTTCATATTACTGTTATTTCTGTTTTTACGTTAATGCCGTTATTACCATAGTATTACATGCTGTTTTCTCTTTTCAATATGGTTCTAAATGTTTTAAGGTTATGGAATTTTCTTAAGGTTTTGTATTTCTTTTAGAACAGAACACAAAGCTGCTCAAATAGTCTCCCATTTGCCATTTTTATGACAATTATAAAGAATTTGGAATTCATGCTGGGTTTTATTTATATCCTTATGGTTTGATGTAGTTTAGTTTGAGGAGAGGAAGTAGGAAAACTAGATTTACAAAATTCTGATCCCAGTTAGTAATTGAAATCTCAATTACTAATTTTTTTTTTTTTTTTACTTGTCAGCTTTTTCACTGCTGTAACTAAAAGACTTGACAAAAACAGTAGAGGAGGAAAAGTTTATTTCAGGGCTCACAGTTTCAAAGGTTTCAGTCCATAGACACTTGGCTTCATTCCTTGGGGCTTTAGTTGAGGCTACACATCATGGTGGAAGTGTGGTGGAAGGAAGGAGCTCATGATGATCAGGAAACAGAGAGAGAGAGAGTCCACTTGCCAAATATAAAAAGCACACCCCGAAAGGCACACCCCCAATGACCCACCTCTTCTAGCCACACTCTATCTGCCTTCAGTTACTATTTGGTTAATCCCATCAGAGGATTAATTTACTGATGGGGTTAAGATTCTCTTAACCCAACCACTTCTCCTCTAAGCCTTCTTGCATTGTCTCACAAATGAACTTTTGGAAAACTTTCTACCTCACATCCAGCTTATAACAGTGGTCAATATAATGGGAAAATAGAAACAAAGAAAAATATAAACAAAAAGATAAAAGACTAAAAGGAAAAGAATATAGCTAAATAGCTCAGCACACATAATTACTTTTACAGCATCAGTTTTATTAGAATATAATAAAAAAATTTAAATCTTTTAAAAAATTTTTGTGTTTATAAGGAAATTAAGTCACGATCCTGCATGCATCTCTTTATGTTTACAATGTGGATAAGAGCTAGGTATTGAAATAATGATTCAATGTCTTCATGTTAGTTTTGAAAGTATACTCTATTGACTTATATTTAGGAATGTTTGATTTGACATGGATATGCCCAATTCTCTGCACATTCCTACCACAGAGACTTTTACATATAAAGTTGGGTTTGATGTAAGAATGTTTTTTAAAAAGCATAATTTTTTGCTTTTACTTTTTATAATTATGGAGGAATGTATTTTATAGGAAAGAACTTGCTTTTTGCTTGTAGTTTAATTTAGTAAGGCAATCCACTTCAAAGGTCATGTAATGCCATCTTCAGAGATTTTGTAAAGTTCTATATAGTGGCCCTATACCTTAGAAGTAGGAACATGCCCCACACTTACCCATAGTTTTCTTATTAATTTGAGCAGTGATGTTTATTATAGAATTAACATTGTACTCTTTTAAGATTACAGTAACACCAGATCTAGCTCAGTGGTAGAGTGCTTGCCTAGCACATAGGAGGCCTTGGGTTAAATTCCCAATACTGGAAAACAAAACAAAACAAAACAAAAAAAACGTTAAAATAGAAGATTATAGTATCACTAAAATGAGTGACTTTAATAACATCTTGGACAATACCAGATGCTCTCAGAGAATAAGCAATGTGAAAACTCTGTCAAATGTGACAAAAGACAAACTGAAAAGATTAAGGGTATAAAATAGATTAATATTTATTTAATACTAATGGTAATTTCTTAACACACAGTTAAGTATGTCAACAATATAATGCTTCTGTTTCTAAAGCTTACATGAAACCATAATGTTTAATGAACTTTCATTATAAAATCCTGGACATTATCCTTTTCTATATTTGCCAAGCCCTTACAGTGCCAAGCTAGATTCCTATACTTGAATCAGATGAAAATATTGGGGAGTACTCAAACAATGACTGTAGGGCTTATCAAAGGAACTGCCTAGACGATTCATTTCATAATTGGATGTTGCCTGGCCAGGTAATAGCTCTCAAAGACTCAAATTAGAAGTCTTCTGTAATACTAGTTTCTGTTTTGCTCCATATGGATTCCTCTTACAAAATGTGGAATTTATTTACCTCTAAAAATTTTATTCTACAAAAATTGTTTCGTGTGTCAGATGGATATATATGTTATATATATAAAAGAATTTCCAACATGGAAAAGATGAGTTTCTACAGATTTTTAACACATGTTAAAAGGCTGAGTTACAAATAAGCAATACAAGATCTTCTTAAATTTGTTAAAATAGAAGAGAAATACTGCATACACAATATGATTTAGAAAACACTTGTCAGAAAGGCAAAAAGGACTTATATTTACTTGATTATTCAGTAATGTATTTAATCTTTAACATTATAATTAAAAGCTTCTCATAAACTAATGCTTTCCTGTATTTTTTTTTTTTTGTAGTTGGACACATGCCTTTATTTTATTTATTTTTATGTGGTGCTTAGGATCGAACCCAGCACCTCGAACGAACCCCACCCTCCCCCTCTAGTTTTATTTTTTGTTGTAATTTTTATAAATTTTTGTTTGAACTCTTGAATTAACTAATTATTAATGAATCTAAGTTTGAATTCTTTTGAAACCATAAAGATAAAAGACTAAAAGGAAAAGAATATCAATATTCAATATTATGCTGAAAAATGTAGGATGTATATTTTCCCAAGAAACAATAGACAAGCTTTCCTAAATCACTTGTTCAATTCTTATAGTGATCACATATATTATACTAGGAAAAGGCATGATTTTGATTAATTTGATTTTTGAGAAAGTAATTGCTCTGACAGTGTACCAGACACTGCTTATGGAATTGAACTTCTCAGGATAAATAGCACTCAGTCCTTTCCCAAGAGATTTTATAACATGATATAGGATGTAAATGTGAAAGTAACTAAATATTGAGTCATCAGATAAGTAATACTACTATATTATCACAGCACAAGATGTGGAGGGGTTTGTCTTAATCTTTTTTTGTGGCAGAAAGAAGAGATGACATGTCTGGAAAGGTCTCATAAAAGAAGAAATACTTGATGAGTTTGAAGTTTCTTGGTGAAAAGGAGGAAAGATTTTATTAAGACAAAGAATAAGGAAGAGGATTACAGGGTTTTTTTGTGTGTGTGCAGAATGGTTGATAATAGCCAGTAGTCAGATCTGCTGTGTGGGTTAGGAAAGACAGAAACAGTGAACTAAAGAATTATAATAGCCCAATGATTGTTGGTTTCATGAAAGAATGGTTTACTTTTCTTCAAAATGTTTTTTGTTTTTTGTTTTTTAATTTCTGACTTGGAAGTAGCAATATTCAGCTCTCATTTTATTAATGTCTCCGTGCATTGTTTTTTCCTCTTTTAAGCTTTAAATTTTCAAGATGGTTATTATTTTTGATTTGTGTAGTTATTACACACTTTGCCAAATTCTGGGGAAAATCTTAAGTTATATGAAACTGATTAGTTCAAAAATTAATTATAGAATTGCATTTTCACCTTAATGTTTGAATTGTTTTTCCAGAAATTAAAACTTTCTATATACAGTAGTGACACAAATTGTTCTCTGAAAAAAATAATTGTTGCTATAAATATATACTAGTAGAACACAGAAAATATTTTCTATTTAAAGTTTTTCCTAAAATACATTTACTATTTCTATTCCTAAAAGTTAAAATCCTTTGCCTCTATAAATAGAAAAATAATTTAATCATGGTAGCCTATTTTTAACCTTACTTTTATTAACTTTTACCTGAAGACGTTTTTTAAGGTACAATAAATTTAGTTAAAATTCTGGCCTACATGAATAGTCATCATTTGGGGCACTATTAAATTATTATCAGCAACTTACTATTAAGTTGAAGAGTGCCAATGCACATTTAAGATAACGTGTTGAATCTACAACTCAGGAATGGTCCTCTAGGTTATCCAGGATTACTAAAATCAAGATTCAGATTTTAGAGCATCAGCTGAATTGATAAAGGTAGAGGAATTGATTAGAATTTTAGTGGTATTGAAAAACAGGTTTTTGTAGTTTGTGGAACAGGCACATGTTACTCTATTGAAGAGAAAGGCAGCTTAAGGCCAGTGAAAAAGTGAGCAGCCCAGGTCTTGCTAATGACATTTTGTACAACATTAAGTATATTTTTGTACTGTTTTATAAAAGCAAGGCACATTCACACTTGGAAGAATGCTGTGAGTCAGGGACTAGAGATGTGGCTCAGTGGCAGAGCACTTACCTAGCACATGTAGGGCACTGGGTTCAATCCTTAGCATCACAAACAAAATAAAGGCAATCTGTCTACCTACAACTACAAAAAATAAATAAATAAATAGGAAAAAAAAGAATGCTGTCAAAATAGAAAAGATAGAGATACCATGTAAATCTGGGAAATAAAATTGAGTGAACGTTTTACCAATTTTCTGTTAAACTATGTATTTTTCTAAACCCTTTGAGGAAAAAGGAGATATGGTCTTTACAGTGATTTTCCTAGCATTTAATGCAGCAACACATGCAACTAAATTGACTGTATAACTACATCAGAATATTTTTGAAATTCGAAAATATTATTACCTTAAGTACATGTATGAAGACAGGAATGTTCGACTCTTCTTTGTGTACAAGCAAAGACATGAAACATTGTGCTCTATATGTGTATTATGAATTAAAATGCATTCTGCTGTCATGTATAACAAATAAGAATAAATAAATAAATTTAAAATTAAAAAAAAAAAGAAAGTAGCACTAACTGCAACAGATTCTGGGTATCAACCAGGTGCCAACTTGGACTCTTTCCAGGAAAACTAGGATATGTGGTCACACTACACATAAACATTCAAAAATTCTTTGAAGAGGAGGGAGGAGGGAAAGACAGGTATACAAAGTTCAAAGTCCACTTGTGAAATGTGGGATATAAAAGTAGATCTCCTTTCCCACCAAACAATACCGAAGAGGGGTGGGGGTAGAACATGTAATTTCACTATAAGGATATGTATTTAGAAAAGCAGTACACTGCATATTTCTAATTCAATGAACTTTTTTCTCCCATGGATTGTGAGTCAGGAGATTTTTTTCCTGATATGGTAAATGTTCCATCTTTACTAAACATTTATGAGAATTACTTAGTGAATTTTCTTGCTCACTTAATAGTGGGGGAAAAAAGAAAATGGCTCCCAAATGGGTCCCTAAAGACTACTTTTTGCTTTCTCTTCTTTGGACCTTCTTTTCTCATTCAGTTATAAAGGCTGATGCTTCCTTTTTGACCTTTAGTAAATAGACCAAACTTTATGGCTGGAAAATTTTGTTAATAGAAGATAATTTTAGTTCATTTGCAATAAAATAACTGGCTTCTTTTGAGTGGTATGAGTCAACAAGTCACCAAAGGGTTTGATTTGGGCAGTTCTTACTTGACAAGAGATATATGACTCTGCTTATCTCTCTCTACTTAAATTTTCAGTATAAACTGGCAGGCAGCCTGATAGAAAATTTAAAAAAAAAGTATTTACAGAATTGAAAGTACTGTTTCTGATTTGTGAGCAGAGGAAACATTTGCTTTAAGTCTATCACCCCATCATCTTTTGTCTCTTCCTTTCTCCAGCTAAGAGGAAAAGGCCGAAAAACTGGTCAGAAAGGAAAAAATGATATTCATATGTAGGGCTTTTTGAAATTTCATCTCTGCATGTATTTTATGAATTTTCTTAGAAGATAAACATATGGCTTATTTATAAACAGCTGCACAAAAATAGAGTGTCATGAAATTTTTACATTGAATTCATTGGGGATTGTCATTTGAAAGTATGTCATAAATAAGCTGTTTTAAAAGGAAAATATTAATATGAAAAGATTAGAAAGAAAGAACACTTTTTTCATTTTATATTTGCAAAAAATTAGAAAGTATAAGATTTCATTAAAATGCAGAAAAAGTAGATGTGATTTTGTACAGTAGTGTAATTTTCATAAATACCTTGATTTGTTTGAAGTAGAGTAGCACTTACCTTTATATAGGTCACCTGTAGTTGAGAGAATATTATTTTGTGTTTAAGACTCTATACTTAATGTTTTCATCATATACATATATCTGTAGAATCCTTTGTATTTTTCTGACAACTAATCTGTTTCTCTGTAGCTATCATTACATTCTTCCAGTTTTATTTACAAACTGAAAGAAAGACATATACATTTTGATATTTTAAAGTTTTTTAGGGGAGTTTTAAATGTCTTATTATTGTTAGTCTTTTGTTTGTTTTTGCATTACCTGGACTTTGACCTAGGTTCACTCTGCCCCTGAGCTACATCCTAAGCCCTTTCTATTTTTAGACAGGATCTAACTGTGTTGCCTAACTTGTGATCCTCCTCCCTCAACTTCCCATGAGGCTGGCATTATAAGCATGAGCCACCATGCCCAGCTTTAAATTTTTTTTTTTTTCTTGGTACTGGGAATTGAACTTAGGGGTACTCAACCATTGAGCCACATCCCCAGCCCTATTTTGTATTTTATTTAGAGACAGGGCCTCACTGAGTTGCTTAGCACCTTGCTTTTTGCTGAGGCTGACCTTGAACTCATGATCCTCCTGTCTCAGCTTCCAAGCTGCTGGTATTAGGTCCTGCACCACCATGCCAGGCTTTAATGCTTTTTTGAAAAAAAAAAAAAAAAAAAACTTGTAATGTGATTTAGAGTGTATTTGAGAGGTTCTACCATAAGTATACCAGTCCATACCGTATCTCATTTGAAAGTCTATTCTGTGCAACAAAACTTAAGTCAGTTTTATAAATTATATTTATATAAATGAAGCAGTGTGGCCAAACATGGTGGTGCACTCCTATAATCCCAGCAGCTCTGAAGGCAGAGGCAGGAGGATCACGAGTTTAAAGCCAGCCTCAGCACAAAGCTAGGTGCTAAGCAACTCAATGAAACCCTGTCTCTATATAAAAAACAAAAACAAAAAAAGGCTGAGAACATGGCCCAGTGGTTAAGTGCCCCTAGATTCAATCCCTGGCACCAAAAAATATAAGTAAATAAATGAATAGGTGTATGATCTGTATTAACACATAAAATCAATATACGTATCTGTGAGGAGTGTAGGAACAGCGGAAAAAAAACTCAACAAGCCAAAACAACCGTTTACCTGTCCGAGATTTTATTAGCAGGACCATAGCAGCCAGTCGCAGAAGAGAAAGGGGGGGAGGGGAGGGGGAGAGTGAGAGAGAGCCCATGAACAGGGTGTTGATATTTATGGGCTCAAGGCAGGATCAGGAGGAGCAAGGCCAGTGGGCTGTTACTTCTTCATTGGCCCAGAGTTCGCGACACTTCAGGGATTGATTGGAGGTTTGCCATTCAAAGTTCGCACCATTCACAGGGATTGCAGGTGATGGTTCCTGTGCAGTCATGGACTTGAGCTCCTGGAAGAGAAGCGCTCTGGCTCCATCTTTACCAACAGGGTCATAGCTTACATAAATTCTCCCATCAGTGTTTGGGAGACCACAAAGAAAGTGGTCTACTTTTTTCATGATAGATTAGGTCTCTTCAGTAGATCAATAATTAAACATGTAAATCCATGTAGTAATTAAATTTATCAGTCTCAAAAAGGATGATATTTAATTTACTGGAGCATAGTTGTTGAGAATTTATTAAAGCATCAATTTCTGGGTTAAAATGAGGTATGAGTTAGAAATTAATAACTATATACTAATACATAAATATACACTGGAATGCTTATGATAGCTGATACAATATACATTTTTTTTCTGGAAATTTGGGACCATAAATATACCATCACTAATTGAAAGGAGATAAAATGAAGTTAAACCCAGATATTTTCACTTTGATTTGTAACTCTTAAAGCTGATAGAAATTATACCTGTTTTGTTATGAAAGGAAAAGGTGAGACAGTAGATACATAAAAAGAATTTTGTGGCAGGATGATAAAGAGTCACATTGGGTCAGGAATATGATTCACCCTTATCATTGTATTGAGTAGAAAATCTCGTTTTCTTTGCTTTTTGATCTGATGCTCTTCTTTGTAAAATATATGATACTGCTTATGGAAAAATTAGTATAAAATTCATGTGATCATTAGAAGCAAAGTTTTGTTGAGAAAAATAAGGGAAATCTATTTGTGTTGATGGATTGTCAAGGATTTAGTTTTATTTCTTGAAATATTAAAAATCATAAACGTATAAGGCAAGGCAAACATTATTTCTAGAGGTTACATTCACCAAATAATTGTTTTAAATAATAGATGTTACTTAAATGAAGGAGAGAATTGAGATTATTAAGGGAAAACTTGTATTATTGTGATTTCAGTTTCAAAAGGGGAATAAAAGAAGTTGAGCTTGTTGAAATGTATCTTAATTTTATTTATTTTTCAATGGAAGAACTGTGCTTACTTGCCCTGGAGTATACCGCTATCTTGATTAGATTGGCACATAGTAAATTGGTAAAAATAGTAACTTATTGAGGGGGCTGGGGTTGTGCCTCAGGGGTAGATGCTTGCCTAGCATGCGTGAGGCACTAGGTTCAATCTCTGGTATCACATAAAAATAAAAACAAATAAAATAAATGAATTATGTCCATCTACAACTAAAAATTTAAATAGTAACTTATTAAAACAGGGTAAAAATGAGAAAGTACTTATAATCTAGTTGAACCCTATGAATTAGAATAAGAGTAGAATCAGCAACGGTTATTTTTAATTGCCTACTGTGTGCCTACTTTCTGATTAAATAGGTGTTAATTCCTACTCCTAAATATGCCAAATGCAGTCGTAAGTGGAAATACATTAAAACTAGAACAGGTGCCTAAACCTGTATATATAAACAAATAATAATTTAAGGCATAATAATTCTATTTGTTACCACTTATAAATGTTGTTCCTTGCTGAAGGATCTGTTACACTTTCTGAACATTCAATATATGTGAAATGGATTTAATATTACTGTAGAGAAATTGTATATAGAATTTACTAAGAAAACATCATACATCGTGTGTGTATTTTGTGGCTCAAGATATAAACTGATAGCTCTGAAGGCAGAGAATAAGTTGTTCAATAGTGGTTTTTTGTGTATTTGTTTAATAATTAGTAGTAAGTGATTAAAGTAGTGACAACAAAATTTTTCTATTAAATTTTTTTCATAGATTAAATCTTATTCAGAATATAAATTACACTGTAATTTGTTTGAATTTAATATCTTTGAGATAATTTGTAAAGTCATGATTGTCTGACTTTCTTATCATTTTAGAGTATCTGACTGTGTTTTCTCAAATGATTGCATTCCATGATCCAGAGTTGAGTAATCATCTCAATGAAATTGGCTTCATTCCTGATGTAAGTACTTGGCACATTAATAGATTACAAGGTAAAAAATAGAGCAGACATGGCCAGCACAAAGCAGTGTGTTTTAAAAATTTTTGTTATTAGGAGAAGTCCCTACGTGAACAAGTTACTACTACTACTAATTATGATACTGTGTTTGTGTGATTAACACCATATTCTCACTTCAAGTCAAAGGAAAGGCCCTTGTTTTCTTTATGAACTCAATGTTATCAAGTTGTTTTCTGTTGAGTATATTAAACTGTTCTGTGAAAGGTTTTCATTTGGATTTTATGGTATTCCGGCCTGATTTTGAAGAAATAGGGAATTTATACTTAATTGAAATTAAATATAAATTCTCTGTTTCCAGCAGCAAAGGTAATTTATTATAGCAACAGTAAATGTATATTTATTTTCCTCTATTCATTAATTTAAAATGTAATTGTGTCAAGCAAAATGTATATAATGTATTGTTTGACATATAACATAATATGTAACATATTGCCAACAATAGCATGTAATAGTTAAATAGGAGCAAAAGTGTTTTAGATGAGGGAAATTACTACAGAAAATAAACCAAATTTACAGGAACAAATGAAGAACATCTGAAATTATACACACAGATATTGACAGCATGAAATGTACAAGCATATAACTGCTATCCTTTATTTTTCAACTTCTTAAAAAGGCAGAAATATACTCAAAGTAATAATTACAACAAGATATTGCTAGATTTAAAGATTTATAATTATAATATATATTATAATACCACAAAATGAGTAAACAGGAGTAGAGCTATATGATTAACATTTCTGATCTCAGCACAATTATGAATCTGAATCTATACAAAACAAGGGCATATTATAAACATTGGAGCAACCAGCATGTAAATTAGAAAATTGGGAAAACATTAAAGAACACAGACAAAAAAACAATGACAGAAGAACAGAGGGACAAAATATATGAGATATGTAGGAAACCAAAATAAAAAGTCAGATGTAAATAGAACCATATTAATCATAACATTTAATGAGATTGAAGTATTCTAAATAGCCTCTTCTGTGTTTTGCTTGATATTACCTTGGAAGCTTTGCCATATTTGATCTTACTTTATTAGTTTTTCTGTAATATATATGAAACTAAAAGTAAGAGTTGACAGGCAGTGTTACACAGGGGGCATGGCTTAGTCTGTTACTTGTTCATGGTTTGTGACATGGAGTGAAGCCTCTTTTGGAAGGCTGTGGGATAAACATATGTCAAAACATCACATTTAACCCCATAAATATATACAAATATTATTTATCAATTAAAAATAAAGTATTAAGTAAAAGTGAAAAAAATAATCACTAAGGTTACATATTTGAAATTGGTAGAGATATAACAAGATCTTTTTACATGTTACATTTTATACTTTTAATTTTTTTTACATTGTAAATGTGCCTCATTCAATAGTTAATTGAAAACCTGGTGCCTGTCCTCAAGCAATTATAATTTTTCAAATGCTTTATTGAAAAATTATTAATAAGTAGTATGGTATTATCTCATTTTCATAGACTATAGTGTATATGTACATATACATAGGAAAAGTAGAAAGGCTATACTATAGAATATTAATCATGACTATTTGGTGTTGGAATAATTTATGGTGATTTTTCTAGGGGGCGGTAGGTACAGTTCTAAATTTGTTTTCATTGAACATGTTTTGTAATACAAATTTAAACTATATTATATGGTAATAATGAGTAGAACATTATTTTAACCCACAAAGTATAAGAACATGCGTATTTTATACTGAGACCCAAAGCACATCAAAAATGTGTTTATGTGTATTTGTAACAAATTTAATAAACATTGTCTCACACTTCCTATATATAATGCATCTACTATATTTCTTAAATGTGCGTATCCAGTATGTTGATTATGTGAACCTTAATTTGAAAAATGCTTATGTAAAGGATTTTTAAAAGGCAGTAACTGATTTTGAAATTTAAAAAGTAAAAGGCTATTGGAGTACAATATCACACATTTTTTAACCTAAAAAAAAAAAAAATGCTTTTTAAGCTAGAGATCTCATTCCATCTTAACCACCTTTGTTTCCTGTGTCTTACTTCTGAGAATGGTATATTGAAAAGTTTTGTTAGAAAATGTTTATAGTGGGCTGAGGATATAGCTCAGTTGGTAGAGTGCTTGCCTTGCATGCCCAAGGCCCTGGGTTCAATCCCTGGCACCACAAAAAAAAAAAAAAAAAAGAAAAGAAAATGTTTATAGTAACACTCAAAGCATTTTTAAGTATTACAATAGCAGTGATAATATAAATATTACTGAGTGCTTTAAGTTGTAAAATAATTAGTGTTAGAAGTAAAACCTTAATCGTTTGCCATCAATCCTCTGCTCTTAGCCTGGTGTATCTTTCATTGGAAAAATAGAAACTAAAACATCAGTCCATTTTTTCCTTGTTCATTGCTCGTTGTTATTTATTTAGAGACAGGGTATTTTAGCTCTCTGTGATATTATCATTAGGCTTAAAGTAACGCTCAATAATTACAGTGTCATTTGCTTCTAGAATTGTGGAGAAGCATCTTTCATTTGAGTAGACAGCTTATTGAGTGAGGGATCCAATAAGAATACATAGAATATCCAAAATAAAAAGAGAAAACAATGGCAGGTCCTTTATTATTAAATGAAAAAGCTGTGAAAAAATAATTAACCAATGGAAATATCATAATAATATTCATTATTAATGCATATTAATATGTGTTTGCTTTATACATATTTTCTTTATTTAAATTTATATAAAATTTTGCCTCATGTTATAAATGTGAGGTATAAAACAATACGATACTAGATTGGTCTTATGGCTAGAGCTGAAGAAATGTTGAAGGAATGGATTGCCAAGCTGGCAATGCTATTTTGAGGAAAAAAGAATACTGTTAACTAAAATATAGGCTAAAAGAAAAGGTCATTATTTTTTATAAAAATTTCTTGTCCAGGGCAGTGGCACATGCCTGTAACCCTCAGAGGCTCAGGAGGCTGAGGCAGGAGAATCTCAAGTTCAAAGTCAGCCTAAGCAACAGCAAGGTGCTAAGCAACTTAATGAGATGCTGTCTCTAAATAAATACAAAATAGGGCGAGGGATGCAGGTCAGTGGTTGAGTGCCCCAGAATTCAATCCCCAGTACCCCTGACCCTCACCAAAGTTCTCTTAAAAGTACCTAAAATGTATTCAACTCAAAAGAAAACTACATTAGTTCAATGCTATAGATGACAGAATATTTATGTAGACAAATGAGAATGGAATTATGTAGACTATGATAAAATTCTTAGACATACTCATGAATATGAGTAGCACTAAGAAAGAAAACATAGAGGAAAAATAATTTATCTTTGCTATAGTTAATCATATAATTGAATTCTGAATGATTATGCTGTAAGGAGCAGGGGTTAGCAAAACACATTGTTAAAACATGATACTGTAAACACGTTAAATGTTTACTGTGTAACAGTACTATTCCATCCTCTTTGAAAGTAATCATTCATCAAATCCTACAAATTTGTAAATAATGATTGTTAAATCTTTATATATTACACCAGTTTTGGAAGGACTACTTAGGTGAAAGTAAAATTCTACATAAAAATAACTGATAAAAATATTTTATGAAAGATAACAGAAATAAGTTTTTTAAATATTCTATTTTTTGCATTATTTTACAAACTTAAATATGTTTGTTTTAAAGTATCCCTTAAGTTCTGGGATTTGTTTGTACCCTACTTGCAAGCTTATAAATTATAACTGTTTTCTGGACAGTGGCAGAAAACATAAGACTCCTGAATTAGAGATGAAAGGATTTATCACTCATAGTACAACAATCAAAGTTAAATATTAGCATATGTTTATTGTTTTCCCTCCTTCCCAAATCTCATGGAAACAACGAGTGCCCAGATGTTACCTACATATACAGTGGATTGTGTTAAAGGAATGAAACCATGAGTTCAGGAATTTCAAATGTTTTTAAATAGATGGTAAATATGCCTTCCCTTTTTCTGAGAGAGTAAGGGAAAGACTCCTTTAAAAAAAAAAATATATATATATATACATATATATATGTATATATATATATACATATATATATGTGTATATATATATATATATATATATATATATTAGATGTACATGACAGTAGAACATATTTTGGCATATTATACATACATGGAATATGATTTATTCTAATTAGGATCCTATTCTAGTGGTTATACATGATGTGGAGTTACCCTGGTCTTGTATTCAAATACAAGGATAGGAAAGTTATATCCCATTAATTCTACTGTTCTTCCTATTCCCCTCCCGGCTCCCTTCCTTTTATTCTCCTTTTTTGTTCCAAGTCTATAAGTAAACTTGTCCTGAATCCACAGAGAGATCTTTGTTTTCCAAAGGTGGGTTTTGGTTTTTTTGTTTGTTTGTTTGTTTGTTTTGTAAACATATTTGAAAAGATAGTTCAGGACAAAGATCAGTGTTCACAAAATCAAACATCTTTGTTCACAAGAAATCCAGAAATTCAAGAAAGCACATTAAAATTTGAATTTAATAAGCCAGGCTTGGTGACACACACCTGTAATCCCAGCTACCCTGGAGCCTGAGGCAAGTTCTAGGACAGCCTCAACAATTCAGCAAGACTGTTAGCAGCTTAGACCCTGCTTTAAAATTTAAAAATTTAAAAAAATAAAAGGACAAGGAATGTAGCTCAGTGTTAAAGTTCTCCTCAGTTCAATCTCCAGTACTGCAAAGAAAATAAAAAAAAAAAAAAGAGGAAATAAAAATTCTTAAAAAGAATAGAAAGAGAATATATAACTTTTAAACCAAGGCAGGTTGTGGTAGTAAGACAAAGTCATTCAAACCTGTAAAATCAGAGAGAACATAGAAAGAATGTAAGCTAATTAAATTGCCTATTAAAGGAGTATTTAGATGGTGTTTTTAAAATCCATCTATATGCTATTTATAAGAGGTAAAAGTAAACATGT